TTCGGGAGGTTATGCGTTTTAATTACTGCAATGTTAATCGATTACGGAACGAAAACGATTTTCGTTTGCGTACTCAATAATTCGGAATTTGTACGTTAATGTGTATTAAAACAACTGGCATAATAAAACAATAATCGTTAAAGATATTTATTATCAGAGCGTGGAGTAAAACGACGGATTTACATACTCGGCTCCGTTTTCCGATTATTGTGTTCAAACGATCACTTTGAAATTCAATAATAATAATATGTATTTCACGATAACACAATAATATTATATTACTGCAGCCCGTTCCTGTGTATTAGGCGGACTAATATACGGAGTGTTGCACCCGAACGGTAATGCGAAATGTTTCAATCGGACGGACTTGGAATCGGAATGGATGTTTTTTCATACGAGAGCTATCGAAGTACACGTTCCGAGGTCGTTTTCAAAACGTTAACCTTTGCGGCGCGCGCCAAACGTACAATTTCTTTAATGGAAATATACACGTTTTACACCGGATACGAATAGTTTCTTTTTTTCCCTTTTCCCCCGTTATTATTGAATTTGATTTTAACCACGTTTTTCAATCTCCACGATATTTTCACTCGAGTTACAACCGGTAAAAAATGTTAAACACCATTGTACCATTTTTAATGATAAATTGATAACTTGTATTTAATGATTTCGGAAAATCGAGAAAACGACATATCGTTAGCAGTCAACGGTTTTGAAAAAAAAAAAAATCAGAATATTCTAATCTGGTTTTTAAAAATATGTGTTTCAATTTAAGTATATTTTAATATGATCGCACAATGGTTGAAATTATGAAAATTGGCTGAAAATCTGTGGGTTTTGTTTTGATAATCCGCAAGAAATCTAAATTCGGTCTTATTCTTGTTGAAATATTCCGCGTTACGCGAAACACGCTGTATAGATCAGTAGTTTTCGATTTTTTTTTTTAAATACGGAAGAGCACAGTGTGTGTTTTTTACAAAATGTTCACGGTACATGTCTCAGCCATTAACAATTTTGATCTTTTTTTTTTTAGGTCATTTTAATTAAATTTTTTATACCGAATATCGTTGATGAATTTCGCCTGAATGCATTTATTTTTGTACATCGCGATTCAATGCAATCGATCACTCGTGAAAAATATAACATTCAAAAGATCGCGACACACCTAGAGAATGTTCGCAGTACACCGGTTGAAAACCACTGGCATATATTACACGGTGGCCAATCTAATGCCCGTACGTTTAGATACTTCAAAAAATATGTGATTTATTTTGAAAGCTCGGTACAATCGAGTGTTGCGATTCGGTTGGCACGCCGAAAACGTATACCACGACTATTATCATATATTCATAAATCTCGAGTGCCTAAAACAACATTTAGCGGTTAAAGTAAATCACCGTTTTTTTATGTTTTGATCGAGCGTCCGAGTGATGGCGTTCCGGACACACCGGTAAATGCGCTGCTATCGAATTGATAATCAAAACATTTTCAAACCTTTATGTTATAAATTATTATCGCAGACTACTGGGATACTAGAATATAGACCGCGATAGCGGCGTCCGCAAAAGTTTCGTCCGATGTTATATTTGCAACACTGTAAACCGATTTTATTTTAGCGCTACCGGTGGTTTGGTTTGGCTTCACGTTTTCGACAGTAATATTATAATAATTTTCATTATAATCCTAATAAATAGTATAGATAGCGCTGTAAATAATTGTTATACATTGTGATCATAGATACCACGCAGTAACGGATAGGACGTTACAGTATTGTGATCCGACGTGGTAGGAAATTTAGGCCGTTTGTTTACACTATTCTACATGCATGCGATATCCACCGTGACAAAGTAATTCACCTGTACGAAGTATACAGTTTCGATTACGGATCATTACGCGTCTTCTGCACACATAAGCCGTCAAGTCCTATCCATTTTTTCATTATCTATGATTGCGACCCATTGCGCTTGTACACGCCGATTAGGTACCACCGTTGAACTGCTCGATACCAGTTCATATTCCATCTTATTGTTGAGTTTATCGTTTGCTGGAATAACATATGTATATAAAAAAAAAAAAAAAAACAGAATGAAATAAAAAAAAACAGTTGTAGGCTTTTCGGAGAACGAGAAACACCAAACCACGTGATAATATAATATATTAGTTAATAGTTATATATAGTATTGTGTAAGTTTAAAAAAAAAAATCGATTTATCGCAGTTTGTTTTTATTACTTATATTGTTATTATTTTTTAATGATAAACATTTTTTCGCAGAAAACGTTAAAACGCGTGTTTTTTTATGTTACACTCGCGTACACTACCGCAAATAATAGGAAATAATATTTGATGTAACGACTGGGAGGGTGGGGGGAGGGACGGAGGGAGAGGGGATATAATAATAATAAAAGGAAGAGACGATAAATGCGTGTGTTTAGATATGTATATATGTATGTATACAATATATGTATGTGTATACTTTCTATAAAGTCACGCCCAAACCAGGAAGTGCTTTACACAATAAGAATAAAAGAGTTGGGCGTCCGAAAATATGTTCGCACCTTGTTTATGTTCGTAATATCATTTTAGCGAGGGCGAACTGTCAGGGACGTCATATTATTCGACGAAGAGTATTTTTTTTTTTTTTATTTTTTTTTCACTGCGTTTCTTTTTCTTTCCCGTCGCTGTAGGTAGGTAAGTAAGTAGGTACACTCTATCCGTCTTTTTTTGTTTTTTTTTTTTTTTTTTTTTTTTTTTTTACTTATATTTTTCCGATGGTTTTCGAAACGAAACACCTGGGCGTTTTTTTTTTTTTGTTTTTTAAGTGCTGTAAGTGCTGCACGCGTTTTCTTAGTTTTAAAAACGAGCCGTCATTTAAAATTTTTGACGAACGCGCGTTTCGCCGGGGGGAAAAAAATAAATTAAAGGCTGCCGTTAAAAATAACCGGCGAGAACACCACAGTCCGGTAAACGTATTTTAATATATTATATTATTGCGTAATAACAACGCCTTGTCATTCTGTTTTTTTTTTTTTGCACGTTAAAAAGCTCGGTCGGTAATAATAATCTGATGCCTAACATTATTGTCGAGTTAACGCAATCTCGGAATTTCTAACTCGGTGACTAATTAAGCGCAAACGGATTACTCGTTTCGAGATTACGACGACTAATATTTTAAGTTTTCGATTCGTGCTTTAATTTAATGTAATCGCGGCCAGTGTTGTAGGCATACGCATAATATACGGGTGCTGATAAGCCGTAGTGTTTTTTTTTTTTTTTTAAATATAATATCGTACGAAATATTACTGATTCATTATTTCTCGTCGCGATAAATATAGATCATTTTTTTTAACCGCGTTATTGATTTGCCATTCAAACTGACAATATTGTTGTCAGTTGACGAGAAGTCGAGTGAGAGATCTTTATGATGATACAAAACATTAATTCGATAACGAATGTGAGCGGTGTGCACGGGCATTCGCGTAAAAGTTTGTAGGAAATAACATTGCAATTTAAAGACACTGTTTCGTATATAAAATTAAAACATTAGTCAACGAGTTATTAAACTTGCGGTGTTCGGGTTATAATAATATGATAGTGTTGTTTTGTATTTTTAACGAAATGTTTAATTACTACGGTTTTGTTAAAAATTAATTCAATTTATATTTGGCATACCTGTACAATATGCATGTTCATTAATCAGCCGGTTTCATTTGATTTTTACCGAGCAATATTTTGTATTTTTCTCGATGGGAAAACGGTGACCGTTGTCAATATAATTATCAATAACCGCGGTTATTGAACAGCCGTAAGCCATTACCACTGTACCGCGTCGAACTGTATGGTCCCGCAACATCGATAATCAGCAATCGCTTTGACATCATCGGTTTTATAAAATGCACGAACATTGCGATTGTGATGAAATTCACATAGTTTTATAATAACATAGCCAACGGCCATGTTGTTGTAAAAAAAAAAAAATACGTTATCTTATACCATTTTATTGTATACCTATAATAAATAAACACGGTCGAAGGTAGAGCCCCCCAAGGGGAGGGGGTGGGGTGTTGTTACACCTACAGCCCTTCTCCCCCTTTCCGCGCACCTATCTAAAATATTCAGTCGAGATTTATTGCCGGTATATTTTTCGATTTTCGGTTAATATAAGTTTGTCGAAAAATTCGCGTCACATGTAGTTTTAACATTTCGATTTTTTTTTTCGTTTTCGTTTTCGATTGAAAATTAACGGTATCGTAAAATAACGGCACTCGACGTTTTTATGAAATCACGTTAAATATTTTATTCATTGGATTTCGTGTAACGGCGAAATACGTGGCGGGACATAAGTTGCGCATTTGATTGATAGGTGCAATAAAAATATCGTGCTCATCTTTTATAGATATAGGCAGGTAGTAAACATTTTATCTCTGTGCTCGTTTTTAAAACATAATACGAAAATAGAATTTATAGCGTTTTCGTTATATTCGACATAATACGCTAATTCTTATTGAAAATTCATGCGGGCGGACGCAACGGAAAAAAAATAAAAAAAACGATTCTGAACAGTATACGACGTCGTGTTTTTACCCGAAGTAACCGTGGAATCGACGTGAATAAAACCGCGATGTATCGATACTTATTTTGTTGCCGATTTTTTTAATAATAGTGTATAGAAAAACTTTCAGGAATCTATAGAAATTGTTTCTTTTTTTTCTTTCAAACAGAGAGCGTGGAGCATTTTTACCAACCCAAAACACGTAAGCCGGGAAAAAAACCGTATCCCTGTAAAACGATTGTAGTTTTATCGCAACACTCGGAATCTTGACAGAAAAAAAAAAAAAAAAATTAAAAATAAAATGAAATTTGAACTGAATAAATCGCGTAGTGTTTAAGCGGTGTGTTTTTCGACTTTCCGGCAATCTCGAACGGTATGCAAACGTCATGATTTCGTACGAAGGTTTATCGATAGGATTAGGTGCACGCGTAGAGTTGAACAGCAATTTAATGCCGATAAGTACCCGTTGCACGACAGTGCGACCGAACGCCCGACATTGTGGTCTTGTATACGAACAACGGCGACGGACTCTGATCGTCGACGCCGTCATCATTGTTATTATTGTCGTCGTCACCATCGATCGGTGCGGTCCAGATTCGACCATGGTTCGGTGCGTTTTGACGGTGCTCTCGTGGTGCGCCGTCCTTCCGTGGTGCCACCGCGGCGTTTCGGCACAGTCAAACTATCCACGGTCGCTCAACAGTGGCTGGGACACCGGGAATGGCGGATTCGCGAACAACGCCACCGGCGGCACAATGGACGTGTTCCGGTTGCCGCCCGGGATCACGCCGGTGTCGTACGCGCTGGAAGTGGCTACGGACTTTGAACGAATGGCCTACGCCGGCCGGGTGACGATCGTCGTGAAACCGCTCGTCACGGCCACCAACCGCATAGTGCTCAACTCCAAAGACCTCCGAGTGACCGGGGTCGAGATTTTCGACCACAAGACCGCCAAGCCCGTCGCGATCAAGCAATACTACCCGGTGGACAAAAACGAACAGCTGGTGATCGAGTTGAGCTGCGCCGGCTCGCGGTGTCTGACGCAAAGCCGACTGTACGCCGTCCAGATAGCTTTCGAAGCGGCCCTGAGGAACGACATGACCGGTTACTACAAAAGCTCGTACAAGCACGATAACGTCACCAAGTACATTTTAGCATTTTACGTTTGTTTTTTTTTTTTTTCAGTAAATCATTGAATTTAGACGTTTATATTTCGGTTCATTTCGATTCATTTCGTTCCGCGGGGAATCTCGCTTGTTTCAGGTGGTTGGCGATCACGAAATTCGAACCTACGTTCGCCAGAAGAGCGTTCCCCTGTTTCGACGAGCCGGCACTGAAAACGCCTTTCAAGGTCTCGCTCAAAAGGCGGTCCGATCAAATTTCCTTGTCTAACATGCCGTTAGCGAATTCGTCGAAAATGTACGCGTCACTCGTAAAATATCGTTTTTACAGATTTCCGGCCGACGATTGCGCTGTTTTGTGTTTTTTTTAAATGTTTATTTCGCCTTTCAGACAAGGTACGAACACGTACTGGGACCACTTTCAAGAGACTCCGCCGACGTCTACGTATTTAGTCGCATTTTTCGTGGGCGAATTTTACGCCATGAAAACGCGCACGTTTGGCGTATACACGCACAGTAAATACATTAGTCAGGCCGAGTACATAGCCGACGAATCGCCGAGACTAATCGAAGCGATGGAAAACTACACCGGAATAAATTACATGTTGCCCAAACTGGATTTGCTGGCGATTCCGGATTTCGCGGCCGGCGCCATGGAAAACTGGGGATTGAACACGTACAGGTGACATTAAACAAACGGATGAAATATGTAATCGTGTCGGCATTTACCGTTTGAGAGCGATAATAGGCTTTTCGAAAACGAACACGTAACACCGATAACGGGACAAAGACCGATATTTTGGTTCCGCGGGTCGTAGTTTTTAATCATCCGGTTATTTATTATCCTAGGCGTGCGCACGAGTTGTGCGTGGCGTGCGGTTACATGGTTTGCGGCTTCGTGTAGACTGTGGAAATAATGAAATTCGTGTCTATGCCAATGGTATACAAATATCGAACATTTTCCGAAATACGTATTCGCACACTTTAATTTGCTACGTTTCTACATTTGGTTGTTTACACCTCCCGCGACAGCGCGTATTTTAGTGTCTGTAGTTGAACGGGATAAACAAACTTATTTAAACGTTTTTAAAATACAAAAATTGTCTCGATATTTTCGGAAAACAACACTTATCGAAATTCTATTGTTACGAGTCATTAGCTGAGATAGGTATGACGTTGTCGCGTTGACGCACGATTTTGATATAATTGGCGTTATCATTTACAGTGTAACCACGAGTCTAACGGGGAAAAATACAAAACATTTTCGGATACACTTGTTTTATTAATATCGATAATAATAATAATTTTATTAAATTTTAATATACGTGCAGTTGCATAATGAGTGACCGTTGCTACCAACAATGTGACACATTTCATTAAAACTGATAAAACTAAATGTAATTTTCGTAGCAAGGGACTATTAGTTTTACAATGCTGTTTATTTCTTTGTTTTTTGTTCTAGTCCGTGGACATGTTTTTTCCTAATCAACTTGTTCCGATTTTTACGTGTAGCAACTTTTATGTAAGCTGAAGTTGACTATATTGTAATTCAAAAAGATTATTTTTTGATTTTCGATGCCTTTTTTTAAATAAAGCCACTTTAGTGTGAAAGTACGTAGGAAATCTTGCATGATATCATGATTTCATTATTTTATTAAAACACGAACTACGTTTTCTGTCAGAGAAAATGATTTAATCGAAAAATCACTAGACACTTTTTTTGTTGCCTTTTTGATTTATTTTCTTACGATGTCATCGTCAAAACGTTTGAGCCACTTTTGAGCTTTTAAGGAATTTTATTTGTTGGTAGTTTTTTGCTGCGATTCGGTTGTAAATACACGCAGAGACTCGGAACATAGTAATAATACTTATATTGGACTTATCTAGACGTGGTAAAATTTCCAAAATCATCGGACGACTTTTCAATTATATTTATGTAAGTGGTCTCTTAGGTCTCTATTATCGCCAGAAGTCCAATTCGTCTGCTTGCGAGAGCTGTGGATGAAGTTTACCCATGTTATTTGTATATATTCTCGGGATTTTGTAACGTACGCGGCTATTATTTTTCGGTAGTGGTTTCTGTTTTTAATATTTCTTCACTTTTGTTTGTAATTATAATTTGTCCGAGTTATCTACGATAATTATATTGTAAGAAATATCTATAAACGTACAATTACTTTACAACGTAAATATTTGTGTATATTCTTATATCAGGTCATCGATTGTTTTTATGATTACATTTAAAGAACCTTTTTCAAACCAATTTACTTACGATTAGCTATTTAAATACAATAAACACATACGTGTAATAAAACAACTATTTCCTATATTATACTCAAACGAAACGCGGTTGTATCTATATACGTACGTGTATACTTAACGACGACCTCGTGTGATTGCAGGGAGAGGCTTCTGTTGGTGACGGAAAATTCCAAAACGAAAGTCAAAGAGTTCGTGACGACGGTCGTACAACACGAACTGTCGCATCAATGGTTCGGCGATTTAGTGACGTGCGCGTGGTGGGATTATCTGTGGTTGAACGAGGGTTTCGCCACGTTCTTCGAGTACTTCGCCACCAAAACGGTGATTTAAATGCTTCGCAAAAAAAAAAAAAAACATTGTTAAAATTATTGTTATTTATTATCATGTATCAATATCTTTTTTTTTTTCCAGGTGGAACCGGACTGGCGGCTAGAGGATGTGTTCGTGTACGAAGTGCACCAGTTAGCGCTGGAAGCCGACCAGGAACCGACGCACCCGATTTCGGGATCCGTCCAGACGCCAGCCGAAATCAAAAACTTCTTCGACAATATATCGTACAGTAAAGCGGGCGCGGTGCTCCGGATGTTACTATACACGGTGACCGAGCAAAATTTCAAAAAAGCGTTGAATTATTATTTGGAGGATAACAAGTGAGAGCGGCCGATACGTTTTTCGGTGGCGAGTAATTCGCTTGAGTACCTAATTATTATATTGATTGTTGCGTTTGTTACGACACAGGTACGCGGCTGCCACGCCCGAAGATTTATGGACCGCTTTTGAAAACGTCCTGTTCGAGGAAGAATTCGAATTGGGCGATAACATTACCGTCACTGAATTCATGGAATCTTGGACCGAACAGTCCGGCTACCCTTTGGTACGAGTGAAGAGAGAGAACGACACGTTTGTCGTGACTCAGGTAACGATCCCCCGGGGAAACATGAAAAACATATGTTAAAGCACGGCGGGGAATTTTTCAGGAGCGGTTTTTAACCGAGCTGACCAGCGAAACCGATGTGTCGGAATGGATCGTCGGGTTGACGTACACGACGGAAGACGAACGAAATTTTTCCGACGTCGTGCCGAAGACGTGGTTGACCGGAAACAAAACTGTTTTGCTGAATCAAAGCGATTCCGGATGGTTTATTTTTAATTTACAATCGATCGGTACGGTGTAATTCATTATCACAGTACTTTTAAATAAAACACGAAAGTTTTGTGGAAAAAAAAAATGCATTTAGGTTTCTATAGAGTTAACTACGAGCCGGACAATTGGGACGCCCTGATCAATCAGCTGTACAACGATTGTAACGTTATACACGTGCTGAACAGGGCCCAGCTGATCGACGACGCTTTCAATTTGGCCGAGGCCAATCAGTTGGATTATATATTGGTCTTGATGCTTTCGGAATATTTGAAAAAAGAAAACGACGTTATACCGTGGTATTCGGCCAAAAACGGATTCGAATATTTACTATACCGGACGCGGCGTTGTCCCCACTGTTACAAGCATGTTAAAGTTAGTATAATTTATATCCGAGCATATATTACTACTTATTACCTATGTCGATGCAAAAATCATAGACAATAATTTTAAAAGAAAATCGAAGGACTTCGATGTTCGTAACTGTGGGGCGGAACTTTGGTCATTGAAATATGATTTTCAACAGTCGAAATGGATAAAAAGAAGTATAGATTCTCGATTCTCGATTCTGAGGGCAGCGAGAAATGTATTGTTTTTACTGCGATGTATGTTTTTTTTGTATCCGTAATAACTTTTCTACCAGAAATATCACTCCAGTTTTTAAGTGTAGAATCTATTCTAAAAAAATTGTAGCTAATTTGTGTAACGGGTAGGTCATATTTTGATTTTCCTTGCAGTTTTCTTATTAATAATCGGGAAAAACCGGTCAATTTACTAAAATAGCAAATTCATTATTTTTGATTTGTTTTTTTTTTTTTGTAATTTATTTAAAAATAATCGTAGAAACATAAAATATTTTACAGTAAGACGTTAATAGACGTTTTACTAGACGTTGTCAAATTTTCAGAATATTTTGTCTGTTTTCAACTATTTATAGTTGCTCATTTGCTTCGTTGGCCTATACAACATCATCTATAATAGTGACATAACCATCAGCTCTTTTTTCTCGCTTTTTAGACTTATGTCGGCTATTTGGCCGGATTGATATACGCGAAAACCGAAGATCTTGTCACCAATCACCCGGATGGTTTGGCGGCAGCGGACCATTCTGCGAAGACCGGTTGGAACGCTTTTTCGCGGTGGGCATGTGACTTGGGCGACGAACATTGTATAAAATCGGCTATGTTCTATTTCAACAGATGGAACCGGGGGAAAAAGTATTAATCTAACGTTTTCATAATGTTGCGCAACATTCAATCCCATATACCGGCAATACTTAGGACGTACAATATTTTACAGGATACCAGCTGACATTAAAGACGCGGCGTTTTGTGCCGGTGTCAAGTACGGTACTCCAATAGTGTGGAACAAAATCCTCGGCGTGTACGTCAACTCTGATTGCGCTTCCGATCGGCAGTCGGCTCAACTCGCTCTGGCCTGTTCCCAGGATCCCGTCGTATTATCAAAGTATAAAAAACAATATTACTCACGCCATCAGGCTGATCGCGCAATAATATTATGGCGTACTATGCGATCACGCGACTTTAATACAACAAAATATTTATAAATATTAAATAATAATAATTGTTCGTTCACCGAATCTGCAGCAACGAGATGCCGACGCATTCGATTCGATTGCGTTTTACTCGATGTAGGCAAATATCAAAGTTTGAAATCTTTTTTTTTTGTGATTTCCACAAATATAGGTATTTGGATTTCATGTTCGACGGATACGACGGCCCGATTCGGCCGCAAGACTTCCGAGTCATTTATCAGACGTTGGCGACAAAACCGCAAGGCATTTCGGCGCTGATCGAATTCGTGACGAACAAACTGGACCGGATCGTAAACGAAATAATCAACGGGGAACAAGTGGCTACGGCCATATACTCACTGCTGGCTTCGAGGGTGGCTACCGACATAGAAATAGCCCTGGTATGCGTATATAGTCGGTCGAATAGCACGTATACTGTTATACAGTTAACGCGATAATTTATGTTACTGCGGACTTACGGTATTATCGTGTTAATTGTTGTTAAAAGATCGACGACTTGAGGAGAAGCCCGTCGGTGCCGGCGCACCTCCAAGCGAGATTCAACCGTTCTTATGGCGCGGTGGACGAGAACTTGGCCTGGTTCAAAACGTATCACGGGAAGGTCGGTGAATGGGCGAAGAACACGGTGCACAAACTCGGATTGGACACCGAACCAACGACCAGTAGCACTACGGAAGTACCGACGACGGAGACGTCCGACGAATCCGACGAGACGACGCCGTCCAGCGCCGGACCGTCGAACCATCGGTCCTCCGGATATTTTATTTCGCGGACGATAATTATTGCGCCGGTATTACTGGCTCGCAGCGTGTCGCGTTTTGCCTAGATCCTTTTCTAGCCGAGTCGGATACAACATTTATATTTAGTACATTTTAGTGTTACGGGCGTCTATATAATATTATTAACTCGAGGTTCGTAAGTTCGTGGATTTTCACGTTTTGTTCGATGCACAGGAACACCGGTTGCTGACCGGGGTATAAATCCGTTTCATAACAATATACCAAGAAGATAACAAATTTTAATAGCGCATGAATTCGCTTATTTCGAGCATTTTGGCTTATCGGGCATATTTTAGCGCATATTAGCGCACGATTCGTATTACACTGAGGAAATTATTACTACTTTTTTTGTTCGGAATTAATGAAATCCACAAACATGTTTACAAAATCCACAATCTTAGTATTGAGTATTATTTCTAGTTTTTGTTGAGCTTTATTTTTATTCTCGTATGATTATGGGTTTTATGGGTTTCATGGCAGTACCACAAAATCAATGTTACCGCACTCTCACGTTATCTCGATATCACAATCAATATTTATTTTCGTCGAAACTAACTTGTATACGCGTGTAATATAATGCGATTTTTTTCTCACTTATTAAAAGTGCATATTTTTAGATTTTTAGTACATACAAGTTCATGTTTCTGAACTTACGAACCCTAATTATTATAATAATTGCCGTCTGATTTGAGGGATTAGACGAATTTTATGCATATCGCCGATTGACTTTTTAGACTTTAGTAATTATACAATATACATGGATTGAAAGACAAATTGATTTTTCATTTGTAGTTTTGACCAGGGTTGTATGTTTAAAACACGTTTAAAAATCAAAACAGTAAAATTTAATTGATTCTGTTTAAAAATTTTAAAACTCATGTTTTAAACATCAATAAAAAACTTGTGTTTTAAAAAAAATATATTTTTAGTAAATTTTAAATTAAAATAATCTATGGATTGTTTCAATCTTATACGGTTTAATGATTTTTTTTTTTTTTTATAGAAAATCACATCTAAAAGTAAGTTTGAGACCACGAGGAGCAATTTTCAGTTTGAATTTGAAAAAAAAAAAGTAAAAAATCAAAATTGCCTAATAGTAATGTTGATTTATCGTTAAAATGCTCAATAACAAAATATTCATGACGCGTTGAAAGAATACTGTTTTTCTACAAATTACATTTGTTCCTGTTATATTCATGTATTGTATTGGTTAGTACTGGGCAATATAAGATTGGAAACAAATAATAATTGCACGTATTTAGTGTGGCACATCTAGCCTATACTGGCTATACTATAGTTTTATTAGTATATTATATTATTATTATACTCCAAGAATACTCTATACGTATTACGTATTTGCTAGACACGCTGACTCACCAGTGTATAATTTCAAAACATCAAGAGTAAACATTTGTAAATCTGGGACACGGGGCACGAAATGGCAAGGCCAGCATTAAAAAGACGTCCTAGGATAATGGGGACGGGTGCAGCCACTGCTATTTATTGTAATTTATTAAACAATGAAAACCATTGCTTACAAAAAAACGATTCTGAACGGAGTTCAGTTGATAGGGATGATTTGTCAACAATATTATCTAGCATATTATGATGAAGTGAGTAAAACAATCTGCGTTTCCAAGACAACAATGATTGTTTAAAAGAGATAAAAAAAAACCTTAATAATAACAAAAATAAATAACAACGGTTGCCAATGACAACCGTTTTTTAATTTTTTAATCTTTTTTTTAACCTAAAGAACAAAGTTTTCTTCACTATCTCAAATATTAATGAGAATTTAAAAAAAATGTCCTCCTTAAAATACCACCCAGACAACATTTATTTCCAGAAAAAAGTGTTATACTTGATAATTGGAGTAATCTTTCTCGCAAAAAAGGTGTTCACAAGAAAAAAAGAATAAACATTATTGTAAAACCAATACATTCCTCGCTCTACTCAGAATCCACAAGCAAATATCCGTTAACGGCATTAACAATCATACGCAATGGGTTTATAATAGATGTTTAATATTTTTTTGAAAGCTTTGAAGATCGTAATAACCTAATAACGCTAATTATTATTTAATAGTACATTTTCAATATTTTTGATGACCACGAGATTAAACACTAAACATACAAGCAGTAGGCATACGTGATTACATCTATCATATCTTATACCAATTGTGTAGAGTTTCACATTTTAAGTTAGTGACTTCACTAGTTGAACGGTTAAACATACAAATTTTTGTCGAGTACCGGTGGGTTTAGAATTCAAATCCAAAGCGATTTTGATCGTTTTACTCGACCACGTGTTATAAATCAAATTTAACCGTAACTATTTTGGAATAGCTATTCCTGATGAATGTCTATGGTATTTTTTCTTTTGTTGCAGTGGCGTAAAATCTCCATAAACAATGATAACCAGTCACTTAAATTTTTTTTTTTAAGATTTATTTTTATCTACTGAAATAATAATATAGTTGGCTAACCTACGTTATTTGATTTTGTATCTTTTGTATTGGATATTTCAGATTTAAATCGGCTTTACGGAATTATTTTGGTATAACCATAAAACCAGAATCACAGATGTACACATACATTTATCCAAAATACACGTATGCCCCAGACCCGAAAACATTTTAACGGTTGGTATTTTCCGAGTGGTGTTGTTCAAGCAGTTTTCAAAGATATTACAGGCTATTTTTTTAGGGTACCTATACAGTAAATGTAAGTCGCCTAATACTGCCAAACTGATAATCAAAACCTATATAGTAGACTGAATAAAATCAAGAGTATACATTACAATATGTTACTATTTTTTTTTCTTTTTTATAATATTACGTTATGGAACTCAATATTGTGTTAGTGTTGAAATGAAATACAGTTACAGAAGATAAGGTGTTGACATGACATAATTATTTGAGTGTTTGGCGTTTCCATTCGCTCATATACGATTTGCACATAAAAAAATATCGTTCACACTGAGTATTATAGATAATGCGGAATAACACTTGCATGGTTTTTTGGAAAAAACGTCTGTCACGTTGTGACACGAAAGTGAAAGGAAAAAATAAAGATAATGGGGAGGGGTGCAGCCACTGATGTAGGTAGAAAGTTCTCAGTTTTCTTACGATTTTCCTGGTTTTCCCATGTTTTATCTCGGTTTTTCACATTTTCTGGAAAAGCTCTTGAGAAAATTAAAAAAAAAAATGACCTCTTTAAAGTACCTCCCTAATGAAATTTACTTTTAAAAACTTTGTTACAATTTAAAGTTGGAGAAAAATTGCTAGTAGAAAAGTTGTGCACAGAAAATAAAATTATAAGATGATTATATTTATTTTCTTTTTTGTAATATTACGATTGATGCCGGGTGTCCCATAAATATTTTGTAAATTGACATTATATCGTCTGTTTTCGTATGGTCCGGTTTTCGTATTATATACTGGACCAAATATTTTTCTAAGCACTTTTACTTCTGTTGTATTAAGTTTAGAGTAGTAAATTATTAATTATTATTGTCCTCTAACGAAACTTATTACAAATTATTATTGTAATTTTTTGACTAACCGTGATATCGTGGGAAAACGTCAAATAATAAAATGCGTATAACGTCTTAAGAACAAATGTTTTACGTCGAAAAGCTATTATATAATTGAGTAGAGTATTATACACGAAACAGAAATAATTGAGTTGTTTTATTGACACTTAACGTTTAGACTTTATTTCTCTTTGTTTTCTTACTGTACAGTCGAAATACACATAATTATTTTATCGATAAAACAAAGCCTTTAATATTCTGACTATTCGAGTAAAAAACCTAAATTTGTACTTCTAATATGAAAAATGCAGAAAACGTCTGCCAAAATTCAATGGAAAATATGATATACTTTGATAATCTGATTACCAGAGGACGAAATAATTCAACTCTTAAAGAAATAGAAAGCATCTATACCTACATTAAAAAGACATTTTTTTTATGAAAACATATTTTGTACCTTCAACACAACATAATAATAATATAGTTTGGGTGTCAGTTTAAGATAAGTTTCATTTTTTTTGTTTAAAGAAAATTTACAATCTGTATTAACAAAAACACAACAAGTAAATATGATAATATGATAATACAACAACAAAACAAAATATATTAATGACAGAATGGCATGATAAGGGAGACTATCCAGTGATAGAATCCTTGACAATGAGTTTATACACGAGCATATGCGTAAATTTGGCTTGTTAAAAGGGGACCTGAAATTATAAATGTAGAACAGGCCCGCGGAGGGTTTCACCTCTCTGCACCACTACATATAAATTTATCAGTTTAATTGTAAAACATGCTTATAAATACTTCAAAATTATCTATTAAACAAACCATACAAATTTTAATTTAATTATAAATAACATTTTTGTTAATTTAACATTATGTATTTATGGTCATCGGCAAATTGTTTAAGAATGATCTCTTTATTAATATTTTTGGCATCACTTTTTTTTATACCCAAGATAGACATCTGAATGAATCTATTTTATAACATAGACAATCGTAGCCATGTTTTTATCCGACGCATAGCTGAGCAGCTTCTCTCACACGTGGAGGAATTAATTGAAAATGTTAAAGAAAATAAATCGTCGGCTGTTCGTCATAACATCTCAACTAATCAATATTCCATGTTTACACTTTACCGTTCACCGCAACAGTACTGACTCAGTTTGTTATTTGTATTGGGTTTTTACATAAATTTAAAAGATAGTGAGTTTTCGATAGTAATAGGGATAATAATAGAATACAAAAGCCTACATATCGCACGTTTTGTACTAACTGTTATCGTTGTTGCCGTTATAATACATTAACCTAGCTTAATCATTTTAATTTTATTACACTACAAAATCGGCTGTCCAAAAACATAACACAGGACCTTATGGGTTATTAAAATTTCAAAATCTTTAGGAGCTGTACAAACTCTTTGGGAGGCTTGGTCCCCCAAACCCCCAAATTTACGCCTATGTACACGGGTAAATATTTATATAGTATATATAGGCTGTCTGGCTGTGGTGAAATTTTTTCGATTTCATAACAATTTTTTCCATTCAGTATAATATATGGGTACGAATAATAGTTAAAAAAAGTCTTGACGAATAGAAACGTTTTTTCGCCGTTTTTATTTATTCTAAAATTATAACGGGACGAGATATTGAAAAACACTGAAATAAATTATTTAATAGTAATATTTTGTATATTTTATTAAATTAGATACACAATAAATACGTTTGGTGTCCTGTATGATAAATAAATCAAACACAACGCAAATGTATCCAAAAATATTCAGCTCCATTCAATTGTGAGTCAGCTGAGAATTAAAATATTTTATTGATGCGTAATAGTGCAGATTACTGCAGGCCGATCACTTTAAGAAGACATTCTTAAAAGAATTTCTATAATACTTAAGTACTTTGGCCGGAGGAAAATTATATTATTAGTCATATCGTGATTTATGAAAATAATTACAAAATTTCGTCTTAATAAATATTTGTCAATAATATTACACAAGATGAGTTTAAACAGCAGTTCAATTGCCAGTCTAAATAGTTCTGATAAATTTACAAATACTTAATATTTTAAAGCAGTTTTGTTAAGAAAAAAAAACGCAATATACACACACATGTGTCTCGTATTATACTTTTGCGGATACTCTTACAAATCATTTGCGATAAATAATAAAATTAAACGAAAAAATACTACTAGAATACATAATATTTTTATTCGAATATATTTCAAACTAGTGCACGATTTTATTATATGATTGTATTATACAAACTGATAAGTCTACAAACATAAGTGATTAATTCAAGTATGTGACTGTTGGTAATATTTTTTTTCAGAATACAAAGAAATTCTTATAGAATTTAAAATATAAATAGCACGAAATAGTTTTATTTGGTTAAAAGTTTTAATAGATAGTCGAGCCAGTTGGATGATCTACGAATGGCATAGTTAAAATTTAATTAAACGGGACCATCTAATTTACCCGTTAAGATTTTTAGATTCTGAGCAAAACGAGGAATGTATTGGTTTTACAATGATAATTATTTATTTATTTTTTTCCTATGGACAACTTTACTACAAGAAATTTCGCTCCGATTTTCAATGATAGCAACTTTTTCGAATGGAAATCGGACTAGGGAGATACTTAAGGAAGGTGGTTTTTTGATTTTCCCAAAATTTTTCTCAATAAATGGGAAAAACGTAGGATACATGGTACAATAATAAACAAATATTATTAAAGAAAATATATAATGTTTAAGTACCTATGTATGCAATTATTTTACCATAATATGACATATATATTGTTGAGAAAGCAATACTATCAACCGAACTACACTCAGAATAGCTTTTCGTTACCAATGGTTAATTGTTGTTTACAGATAGATATTAAATTATTTATAACACTAGTTACACTCGTCCCCATTACCTACGGACAGCTTTTTACTGTCATTATTACTTTTTATTACGATTATTACTATTTTACTAATTCCATACAGTATATAGTTAGTATATAGTTTCTTAAAAAATATTCGTATGTATTTTGCATATTATTATGTAGTAATTGATGTTATAAAATATGTTCTCAACGAGCACTGCATATACCAAAGTCCGTTTAAGTCTTATATAAATACTTATGTAGTACTGATTCGCATATTTTCGATATAAGAATCATTTTTTACGTCATCGACGCTGTAAAAATTATATTCGTTTATAGTTATTTTAAAAAATGTCTATAATAATTACGTTTATTATATACGAATAACTATAATATGAATAATAAAGTATATACAGAGTGTAACACGAATATATGATATCATTGCGATATCTCGGCAAGTGTTAACTTTTTTTTAGATTTTTTTTTTCTAACAATGTAAGAAATAAAATGCTCGAAAATACAACATAACAAATTTTTTTCTCCCTTATTTCTACGGACGAACTAACTACATACTTTTGATTTTAAAATAACAAAGTAGGTATATTTTAAAAAGACGGACATACTTCGCACATCATTAGGCCACTGTTGTAAGTAAATAGTTGAAATGGTAAAAGGAAAATTGAATGCATATCTGTACGCAACGACTAAACATTGCTAAAAAAAAACGATTCTGAGTGGAGTTCAGTAAATAGCGTTCTTTATCAACAGTATATATCACATATTATGGTAAAATAATTGTAGATGCATCAAATATTTTCTTTAATAATAATATTTGTTTAAAATTGTATCTATTTTCCCATTTTTTCTTCGGTTTTTTGTCATTTATTGGAAGAATTCCAGAGAAAATCATAAAATGACGTCCTTAATATACCACCAAAGTCAAATTTCCTTTCAGAAAAAGTGCTGTATTTGTAAATCGGAGCAAAATTGCTGGTGGAAAAATTGTGCACAGAAAAAAAAAACTATTGTAAAACCAATACATTACATACAATCCCATAAATATACGTAGTGTCAGTTTAAACATTTGGTGTTATCAGTTTTAATTTCCGTCATCCCGTTAAAGAGATATTTTACTTTTAAGTTTAGGAAGTTCAGTGGAGGAACATCGTTTTTGTGAGGGCAAAGCGCACGATGTTTGAACTTGCTTCAATTTACTCACTTTGTTGACCGTCAATGGATTGAGAAAAAATCAATTATTTCAACACCATTATGTAATTGAACAAATACTCCTTTTACTTATCACATTTTTAATACAGGTTGCCATTTGAAAATCGAAAGAAGTCGGTTCGTTCTCAAAAATACGAATGAACAAAAATTGATATGTACCATTTTAGAGAACTACTCGTTTCTTAAATTAAAAAAAAAGTTTCGTACGTTCCAAAATATCGCGTACGAAATAAATTTATATTATTAAACGTGACTACACGGGATTACGAAGTTATAATAACTTATAAGGTAGGTACAATATAATGTACAATAAAACACTCGGATTAACCAAAGACGGCAACATTTTTTTTATTTTTTAATACAAATTTTAACTAGTACCTATAACAACGTCAACTAGCATATTATACTAAGGTAATTAGTCTATTACAGGCTTTCCAGGTATAATCTAAATAATTTAAAGGTAGACTTTATCTATTATTTGTCGAGTTTATATAATTTACCCCGCGTTAAAACGATAATAATAATTATTACTCGTACACTCACCGCTTACACTCATATAATATTATATTATCCATACATATATATATATATATATTATCATACGGTTGGTATACTTCGCAAATTATGTCTGGCCTAGTTAAGCGTAGTTAGGCATTTATTAGGTAAGTATATAATGATGACGAATATGTGTAGGTACAATTTATTATAATTTACACGAGTTTATAAGTAACTAAATACCTCCATTTCGGCGAGGTTTTCGTTTAAAAAAAAAAACGCCCTAGGATAATGAACATGGGCACAGCCACTGTTATAAGTAATTGAATATATACCTGTAAGTAACGATAAACCATTGCTAACGAAAAAACGATTCCGAACGAAGTTCAGTTGATAGTGATGCTTTGTCAACAATAATATGTCATATTATGTTAAATAACTAGGCATTAAATATTGTCTTTAATAATATTTGTTTAATATTGTACCGATTTTTCTGTGTTTTTCCGGTTTTTCATATTTGCTGGGAAAACTCTTAGGAAAATGGAAAAATTATCTCTCTTAAATACCTAGAAACGTAAAATTAGATTTTTTTTTAAAAAAAAGTGCTTTCATTGTACATCGGAGCAAAATTGCTGGTAGAAAAATTTTTCACAGGAAAAATGAAGGCCGAAATATTTTTAAACTAATACCTACATTTCGTACATTTTCCCGCTTTTCCTCCATTTTTTTCGGTGTTTCACATTTGATGAAAAAATTTCTGGGAAAATCAAAAAATTATTACCTTAAATTACCATGGAAATAAAATTTCCTTTCAGAAAATAAACTACACTTATACATTAGAGCAAGATTTCTGGTAAAAAAGTTTGCACAACGAATCGAGGAGTATTTGTCGATTAAAATAGTCCGAGCAAGCTATAGCTTGGTTTCTGGGTACACTTAAAACGCATTTATTTTTCAAAACACAGAGTTTTAATTCGCAAACCTTAGGACGAAACTAGTTATTTGGCTTCGATAAACATACCATAGAGTTGACAATATTTAGCCATTTAACATAACATATAATATAAAAACTTCAAAAAGCTTTAATTTCAAAACTAAGTCAATCCGCTCAATTTATCATCGTCTTAAATCAACGATATACACATGTTCAAAAAAAAAAAAAAATTGAAAAATTAGATTTGTTCCACAAAATATTTACTCAAACGATTTTCGTTAAAATTTGATATTAAAATTCCTTTATAAAAAAAAATACTACATTAAACTTAATTTTTTTTTTTATTTCAAAGTAAGAGTTTTAATGAATTTCCTGTTAAATTTTCAACCATTCCTGTTAAGTCTAATAATTTGACAACAAAGTACCTACCCAATAAAAATTTTGTACAAAACGCACAAAATCCAAATGTCTTTAAATAGCTTAAAAATGGCATACAATTTTTGAAAATTTTATCACGTATAAAAAATATAAATATAAGTTTTCTGTTTAAATTTCAAGTTTCTATGAATATTTTTAACTGAATTACAACAAATAACAAAATTAAAAAATAATAAAAGTATTATTTTCGTATACATCTTGTTTTTCTTACGTTTTATCCTAATTATTTCCAGATATTATGAAAACCGATTGGAAAATCGAAAAATGACCGTCCAAAAGTACCATTTGAACAACATTCTCCTTCAGAAATGGTGCCACGCGTAAATATTTGAGCAAGATTTCTGGTAGAATTTTTTACAGAGTATAATAATAAAGAAAATAAATCTTAGTAAAACCAATACATTCTTTGCTACACTCAGAAACTAAAATGTATATATATATATATTTATGTTTTGAACAAAGTTTATTTTCACATTGAAAGTGGCGCTGATTGATGCAAGTTGAGCAACAATATATATCTTTTTTCTCCGTCAATTTTTTAATGACAACATTTTAGACCAATGTTATCCTTTCCTTTTTAAGATAATGTATCTTTGGTTCAAATGTACATGATTTTTCAACATTATTGTTGGAAACATTTACCGAGCAATTTTGTCCACGAAAAATACGCATAATGTTGCTTTAGTCTGGTCAGAGATTTTTTGCGGTGACATGGCAACGTATTATGCTAAAAACGTGTCAAGAAAAAGTTATTTATTTTATGAGCAACCGTTTTGCGTCTAATGAGGATAGGACACAAGGTTAAGTGCTTATTACCAATACTTACTTATTAAATCGTATTATCATCAGTGTTGTTTAAATTTATTGCAGACAGTATATATATTTTTAAGTAGGTACGTGGTTAGAGAGATAAGATAAAGCCCCAACACTTTTGACGAAATCGTATTATTTAGTTTTGTCGACTCGGATTGTCATATCCCTCTGGGCATTACTGAATCACGCACATTTGTATTATAGTCATTATGTTGAAATTTGTGGTGTCAATAATCTTGTGTGCCCTCGCGGCAAGGGATTCATTTGGAGACCAAGATTTCAGGTTGCCGTCAAACACAGCACCAATTTCGTACGATCTACAGTTTTATCCGATTTTCAACGGTGCCAATTCCACGTTCACCGGAGTGGCGAAAATAACTTTTAAGGCCTTTACCAGCGACAAAATAATAGTTTTGAACCAAAAAGATTTGACCGTGAATACCGTGTTGGTAACAGACATAACCACTCAGAAAAACCAGACGATATCTCAAACGATAAACAAACCGGATTACGAACAATACGAGATCTATCTGAACAGTGCGTACATCAAAGGCCGAAATTATTTGTTGACGATAACGTATGGTGGGCAAATTCGAAATGACCTGACGGGTTTATACATGAGCTCTTACAAAGAAGGCAACCAAACCAAGTAAGGCCACGATTGCTCTCCTGACACGGGTCTGGAGTTGGTAAAAAAAAAGAAAAGAAAATAATTTAGATTTTTAACATGTTTATTTTTCGTTGTATCTCCTCTCGTAACAGGTGGTTGGCAGTGACACAATTCGAAGGACCGTACGCGAGGAGAGCCTTTCCGTGTTACGATGAACCCTCGTTCAAGTCCTATTTCAACATAACAGTGGTAAAACCGAAGAATATGATAGCGTTGTCCAACATGCCGATCCGAAAAACTGAGCCTGGGTAAGTAAACGACACTAAATAATCGACGAAGAGTCCCTGGGAGTGGGCGAGTCCATTTCCTGGTATTTACATTTTTTTCTGTAACGGTAATAGTTATTTAAAAATAATGTTAAATGAGTACACATACCGTAAGGAGAGGAGGGAGGGGGGTGTGATACTTAACAATTGTGAAATACCGGGTTTGGTATGATGCTATAAACGGGACCGTAACGTTTTCTCCGAAAAAGCGAAATACAATTTATACCGAGAAAGTAAGAACCGAAATCAAAATTATTGTCGCGAATAATATTCGTCGCGCGTTTCACCCCTTAAGTATGAATTCTACGAACGGCGTGGCACTTCCTGCGCTCGTTTCGGAAGTGAATTCGGTATGCGACTATTTCAGTTTTTTTTTTCTCTCCCGGATCACTCGATAAAATAACAATACTTGGCTTGTGTCAAAAAACGTCGTTTTTTCCTCAAAAAAAAAAAAAATAAGAAATAAATAAGAAACCGTAAATAAACAACGTGATGCCGTCGATTTCTCTTCAAACACGCTACCGGCAGCCGCTCAGTATATTTGATAATTCATATGAATAGTATACTATAGTCCTATAGGTACATTTTACATTTCTACAAACTGGGAGGAATAATAATTGTTCAATAGTAAAAATACATGACGAAATATAATCTACCATATTAATCATCCAGTCGTGCTTCTGAACGAGAATTTGCAAACGATCACATTTGTTTTGGTTTCTGTTATTTGTTTTATGATATCTAATTTTTGTTTTGAGATGACAATATTATTCATAAGCGCCATTGAACCGCTATATTATTAACAATTTATAAACCAACAAAAGTGTTTATACTAGGGAAGGGGTGTGTCACTGTTGTAGATGAGAAGTTGGGAAGCTAGAATACGCATAAAGTTATTTATTTAATTTAATTTATATCTATAAACCATTGCTAACGAAAAAAGATTCGGAGTGAAGTTCGGATAAACATGTTTTGAAAGACCCTAATATTTACGATTTTCGCCAAAATTTAATACTAAAACTTAAAAAAAAATAAAAACCACTATGTATTTTGTACAACTTGTAAGAGACTTCCTGTACAATTTTCAAGCATTTCTGTTTAAAACAATTTTCTTCATAGATTACCTACCTACCGAATAAAAATTACGTAAAAAACTAGCAAAGTTAAAAAATATCTATAAATTGTATGAAAATGGCTTAAATGATATTAAAATTTGAACACGTCAAGAAAAGGATAATATAGTTGTCTATCAAAATTTCAAATTTCTACGATTATTTTTAACTATATTACGACAAAAAAACAAAATTGAAAATAATAGAACTATGATTTTCAATTAATTTTCCCGTTCTTTCTAGGTTTTCTTTTCAATTTTGCTAAATTGTTAAAAAACTACAAAGAAAATCAAAAAAAGTCTTACTCATTAACTAGACTAAAATTTCAATAAAAAATGTCTCTTATGGTTTTTTGATGGAATCAAGATTTCTGGTAGAAAACATAATTTGTAAAAATTAAAAACAATACGAAATCGATAACACCACGATGCGTCGTAAATATCTGCCGTTTTTTCGATAATTTTTTTTCAACATTTCCCCTATTATTATGAAAACCCCTAAGAAAATCAAAAAATTATCCCCCCCCCCCTAAGGCACCAAATTGATATAATTTCCTTTAAGAAAACGTGCTTTACTTAAAACATCGGAGCAAAGTTTTCTGTTTGAAAATTTGTTTATAGACAAAAAAAAACACACATAGTAAAACCAATTGATCCCTCGCTATCCCTCCCTCCGAATCTAAAATATTGTAATATTATAAAAAACGAACAAATACATAATATCATTTGCTCTCGAAATTTCACGATTAAAATATACTCATAAAATACAATTTATACGGAAAAAATAACAATTATTACGTCGATCTAGTCTAATAATTTCGATAGTTTTATTGTATAAGTGTAAAATTATTATATTATAGGCACTTTATCTGCATTATATCTACGCACTTAAATATTACAGAGCGTATACACAGTCTAAATAATATTACAGCTAATAAAATCCGTCAAGTGTTTTAGATATTATTATTATCTAACTATATTGCCACTTCAATTTTTTAAGTTTATTATATTATTTCAATACAACTAATATTATGTTTAATTATCCTAAATTATAGTTTCTATATATGAGTATTATGATACTATGCGGTCATAATTTATAAATATAGAGTCAATAAAAAATGACTGATTCGTTTTATTAGCTATACTTTGATTAACTATATAGGTAAATACCTATATAGACAATTATAAATATTTATTATGTATACACTATACTTCATGTTAGTGAAATACTATTGTAACTACTAAAACCATGTATTTAAATGAAAAAATAAAAATGCCAATTAGATTTGTCTACTCTTAAAATATCCAATAACTGCAGTTTTCACATTTTTCTTTTTTAACCTGAGATTCAAAATTATATGCGAAATGATTTTGTTTTTCATAAATGTCTCATTTTCGAGATATTATTACCGATTATTATAGCTATTCGATTTATTTCAACGCGAAATTATTTTGGAAAAATCTTAGTACCTATAAATATGTTATCAATCTTGAATCTAAACAATATCTAAAAAATTGGTTGCATACCTGAATAATAAAAACAACAACAATGACCTTTTCGATGAAAATATAAACAATTTATATTTCTAATACCAAATTGTAGGCCCACGAATACAACCGAAGTGGTTTACTTTGAGCAGACCTCGTTAATGGCGACTTATTTGGCGGCTATTTTCGTTGGCGAATTCTTGCCGAGCAAAAACGGTTCGGACTTGACGGTTTACACGCACAAAGATTACATAGACCAGACCCAATACATCACGGAAATAGCTCCGAAACACCTCCATGCACTAGAACAGTACACGGGTATTCCGTATATGCTTCCCAAAATGGATCTGTTGGCCATACCGGACTTTTATTTTGGTGCAATGGAAAATTGGGGAATGAACACTTACCGGTGAGTACGCCATGTAAGAAATAAATATTATACTCATACCTCATAAAGTCATAATGTACTTCCTCTTCTCTCCTCCCGTCTTTTTAGGGTCAATAATTGTCTTGATTCTAAGTTCCTAAATATCCATTCGATTCGATCTCCCACATCATTTATACAAGCCCCGGCAGTTCTCATATCACTCTTAAATCTCAATTGTTTCTAAATATCTCCTTTTCGCTCTTCTTCTTACCCTCTAATTAAAATTCATTTATAAAACTTCTCTAAGAACTTTCAATTTATCTCTTTTCAGCACATGCCTAAACCACCTTAGTGTATTCTCTCTCATCTTAAACTCATTTCTTATTCTATCCTCTATATAGTGACTTTACTCATCCATCTAAGCATTCTCATCACTGCTACATTCGTTTACTGCTTTGTCTGCCTATCTAGTGCCTAACATTCTGTACCATTCAACATGGCTGTTATTAACACATTTTTTTCTTTTAAATTTAACTTTCAGTCTAATTGAAATCCACTTATAACATACAAGTATGCATATACTCGTATTATCCTTGGCGCATCTAATTGTTATAACTCAAATTTAATTTTTACCTACGGATACAGCTGCTTCCGTTGTTATATTGGTTATTTTTCCGAATACGTGATCAATTGTTATTTAATTTTCGTTCGTAGGGAAAGTTATCTGCTGCTGAACGATGATGCGAAAACAAAAAACAAAATGCGCGCGACATTGGTCGTCCAACACGAGTTCACACATCAATGGTTTGGTGATTTGGTGACCTGTTCATGGTGGGATTACACGTGGCTGAACGAGGGTTTTGCGGCGTACTTCCAGTATTTCGCCACCAAAATGGTATAAAGATAATCCGATCGAATGAATCTTTTATACATATATTATATGAATTCATTTTTTTTTTAACTGACTTAATCAGTTTTATTTAAACAAACCAATAAATAATATATATTACTCGTGCACTATAATTATACCGGATGATCCATTTAACGGGGTGCACTCATTATCTCGGAAGGTATTAACTTTTTCCGGAATTTGTTTTGAAAGAACATTTAAGACACAGGCTGCTCTACAATTTTATATTTATGTTATTTTTAGTCATTCTTATTTTTGGGGGTAAACTACTACCTACTTTTGATTTTCAAATGGCAGACTATATTAAAATATCCATAAATAAATGGAGTATTACTTAAAATAAATTTGCGTGTTTTGATTTCTGTGAAGCCATTGACGAGATATTTCACTTTTAAATTTAGGTTGGAGGTGAGTAGTGGTGCAATAGGTTACCATTTGAAAATCAAAAGTAGATAGTGTTTTTACCCCCAAAAACAAAGGTCACGAAAAATAAACATAAATATAAAATTGTAGAGCAGCTTGTTTCTTTAATGTTCTAGAAAATAAATTTTGGAAAAAGTTAATACTTTTAGAGATAATGAGTGTACCCACTTAAATGGATCACCTGGTATACAGTCGTGAAGTTTTTCCCGCTGTTACATATTAAAATCCCCGTTATGGTTTCGATTATAACAGGTGAATCCAAATTGGCGGTTGGATGAACTGTTCGTGATCGACCAACACCAAAAAGCGTTAGCATATGACCAAACACCCAGACATCCCATAACCACATCGGTATCCACAACTGACGATATCTCAGACGTGTTTGATACCATAACATACAACAAAGCGGCGTCAGTTCTGAGGATGTTAAAATACTTGGTTAATGAAAATATTTTCCGGGCGTCTCTCCAAAGTTATTTAAACATAAATAAGTAAGTAAATATTATTATGATATTACCGCAAACACCTTGTTATTTGAATTTAATTCGGATAGTATAAACTATAATTTAGTATCGCGTAAACATTTAAGTTTAGATGAAAAAATAAATACACGTAACATATATATAGACTATTTTTTATAGTCTTCACAAATATCATATACCGCGTAGGTATCGTATAAAAATAGTTTGTAAAAAAATCCGCAGTGTTAATTTTAAATAATAAAATGTTCAGGAACCGTTTCCAAATGTCATAAATATTAATATGATATTTCATTATGGACAAAATATTTATTTTTTTTAATGAATTTTTTTTCCTTTCTCAGAGAAATGTCTGTATCGCCAGAAGACTTGTTTGTAGCTTTTGACAGTACATTAGCCGATAATAGCACAGAATTTGGAAACGATTTGACGGTCTATGAGTTTATGACAAATTGGACAACACAGTCAGGGTATCCAGTACTAAATATTGTTAAAAACCAAACATCATTTTCAATAGTTCAAGTAATTATTATTTAAACGAGAGTCTTTTTGTTTATTAGTTTAATATTAGCGTTTTTATTTCTGCAGCCTGTTTCGTAGAAAAAAATGTTTTTCCATCGATGAACATTTGTTCTATACGTTTCAAACAGATTGATATTTACTTAATAGGTTTGTTCCTACGCGGAGAATTTGAGACTAGTTGTGAACTGATCAGTGAATGATTTATTGTTTATGTGCTAACTTGGACTAATCACGGATTCCGAGTTTATGACTGTCCAGGTCTGTTGGAAAATATTGAGACGCAGTTCGGGCTGTCCGTGATTGTAGAAAATAGATAAAAGATTTAACTGTAATAAGAATGAATCTTGTGTATTTTATAACAAAACTTTTAGGTTCTGAGTGGAGCGAGGAATGTATTGGTTTTACAATGATGTTTATCTATTTATTTATTTATATTTTTGTGGACAACTTTCTGCCAGCGATTTCGGTCCGATTTTCAATTACTTTTTCTGAAAAGAAATCTAACTGGGGTAGTACTTTTAGGAAGTCATTTTTTGATTTTTCCAAGAGTTTTTCCAATAACTGGAAAAAAACAGGAAAAACCAGGAAAAACATAATAAAAATGGGAAAATAGGTACAATATTAAACAAAAATTGTCAAAGAATATATTAAATACATGTGTAATTATTTCATTACAATATGGCATAATAAATGACAATATAAAATATATATTGTTAACGAATTAACACCATTATCCGAATTCTGCTCAGAAACATTTTTCGTTAGCATTGTTAATCATTACGTACAAATATACATTCAATTTCCCCTCTACCTTCCCAGTTTCTCACCTACAACTACTGTTGTAGCCCACCCACGTGCAATCTATGTCCGTCGTTTGATGTATTTTATTTTTTTTTATTGTGTGTTGTGTGCTAAAAATTTAAAAATTATTTATGAATTATTATAACCAAACAAGACGAATACGAAATATGAATTTTTATTACGGGAAACGGTACGACAGTACTACACACATCCTACTTAGTTACAATTGTGAAATGGACAATAGTTAATTAAATTAGAACGTGAATAATAGATAACAGATAATAAATATATGATATCAACGTCTCTGACTACCAGTCCCCAACCGAATCCGCGGATCGTTTTGACTATCAGAGACCTATCTTAAAACTAGTCTATAGAAGTGATGAAACAACTGGTTAACGGTTTAAGTATGCCTTTTTTGGCGTTTTTGAACGGTAAAACTTTACTGCACACGCACCCATTAGTTCTGTTACAATTTGACCGCGTGTTGGAACAAACCTAATATATTACGATGTATTTGAATATATTAAATACATATATTTATATATATATATTAATATTTAAGAGTCCATTTTTCGTCAACGCGGCCGATGGAGTCAATAAAAGCGGAGCGTGGCACGTCGGTCTGACATTTACCACCGAATTGAGTAAAAATTTCAATTACTTCAGTCCGTCGGCTTGGACGAACAAACTGTCGAGCACGACCGTAATACCCGCTCCTCGGAATCTCACTGGATGGTACATATTCAACATACAGTCTACCGGTAAGTGATGGTCCGTACGGAAGGGAAATCTATCAGAAATTCTACCGGTATAATACGATCGAAATAATAACGGATCCGTCCGTTATTATCAGGTTTCTACAGAGTAAACTACGACGCCGATAACTGGGATTCACTGACCAGGCAACTGAACAACAACCCTGCTGACATTCATGTGCTCAACCGCGCTCAGCTTATCGACGATTCGTTCGCGCTGGCCAAAGCGGGACAGCTGAACTACTCGGTAGCCTTGTCGTTGTCCAACTACTTGAAAAATGAAACGGACGCCATACCGTGGTATTCAGCGATGAACAGTTTGTCGTACTTGTTGGAACGCATGCCCCGCAGCCAAGACGGATATGGAAATTTCAAGGTAAACTATATTACTTGGTCCTCGGTACGTTTTTCGGACGCAAAGGCACTAAATCGTGACTTTTTCGCATTTACAGACTCACATCAGCACGCTGGCCGGTATCATATACAAGAGGTTCCGAGGGCTCGTGTCGCAGGGCAATACCGAATTCCACGTCCTGAGTTTCTGGGATACGTTCGCGACCTGGGCGTGCAGTCTGGACGACGTCGATTGTACCGCCGACATGCTGAATTACTTTAACAAATGGCAAACGGGTGAAAAGTCAGTTGATTATCACTAACCACGTAGTACCTATCGGATTGGTTTACAAATATTAATATATACATTACTTAATTATTAATAATACACAGAATACCCGCCGACATCAAAGACGCGGCTTTCTGCGTGGGAGTCAAAAACAGCAACGACTCAAGTGTCTTCGACAAAATGTTCGACGTGTTCACCACGACCAAAACGATTTCGGAAAAGTTCTCTGCCCAAGCCGCCCTTGCGTGTTCTACCAACAAAACACAATTAAATCAGTATGCATACCAATCCGCTCGAAACGTTTTTACATTTGAAACATTTATTTTATTTTAATTTTTTACGGTTAATAATTAAAATTTTCAGGTATTTGTACCATATATTCGACGGACCCAATGGACCGATCAAGCTGAGCGATTTTGATTCCGTTGTCACGGCGGTATCGAAAACACCGATAGGTCTGGACGTATTATACGAATTCCTCTCGACTAATTTGAATAAAATTTTGAACGAGGTTCTCGACGGCGAAAATATCGTTACGTTTATATACTCGACCTTAGCCGAAAAAGTGACAAGCGACGGTCAAATCGAAAAAGTATGTCTCTGGCTTTAATACGAACATATTTAAATACGTGGTCTTTTTCTTCGAGTATAAGTTTGATACGACGACGGGCTAACAGTAGTCCTATCGCATCACCAACTAAAATTTTAGACTATATTGGATACCTCTAAGTTTTTTTTTGTTTTAATTCTTTATATTACATCACATTTCTATAATTTTACATTAATTCTATGTCATTAGATATTTTCAATTAACTTATAATTTACATTATAACTATTATGTTTCAGATAAAATATCTAAAAGATAACACGACGATTCCCGCCTCAGTTAAAAAGTCGTTCGATAAATCGTACAAACAAGTCAACCAGAACTTGGTGTGGTTCAACGCGTTTTCTCCGGAAATTAGCCAATGGTCATTTGTAAATAAAGATGCACCAACGACCGTATCGCCGGCGCCAACCACGCCGCCTACTTCTCCAGCTTCTACAGCTCATCCGGCTCCTTCAACTCCTCCGGCGACTACAATCAAACCGAAACGTTCCAGTGCAACGTCGAACACGCACAGCAGTTTAATTATTTTGCTATTGACAGTTTTTACGGTACTATTCATAAAGTATACTACGTAAAATTCTATAGGTAATAATATCAATTAATGAAAAATAATTGTATATGAATATTGTAATAACGTATCCGAGTCCGGTCGTATTATATTTAAAAATAACGATTTGTATGATAATACCAATAATTCGTTTTAATTAAGCATAATAATATACTATATTTAAATATTTGTATGTATAATTATAAATTACAGTAACGTTAACGATCACTTCTAAAAAACTGTTACCTCTATATAACGGTTATTTTTGTTGGTCCCGTCAAGTATTATGCCTCTATAGGAAACCTCTAAAGGATGGTTATTTAGCGGTCATTATTTCTGTATACTTCTGATTATTAATCGTCAGATCATCAGTGAACAAAAATTATTTTTTCATGAGTTTTAGTGGTTGAACTAACTTTTTTAGTACAAAATTAGCTAACTTATTTATTAACTTTAAATACATAACTATAATTTGATACAGCTTTATGCCCAGTCGACACCGTTGGAATATTAATTTAATTTCCCCATCAACCATTCAAATTTACTTTTTTTTTTGCTAATTTAACATATCTGAAATAAATATTTTAAAATTAAAATTTTCATTTGATGGTGGTACTGAATACTGAATACCTGCACAGTAACCAATCCGATTTAATAGCATATGTAATTATATAGGGGTGACCGTATTTATAAAAAAAAAAAACAATATATTTTTTTAACGATTCCTATATTTTACTGTAACAATTAAAATTGTTTTTAACTAGTTTAATATTTTAGTTTTTTATATTAATAAAATACTTGTTCGTATTTCTTCTTTTATTGTGAGTTTGAAACAAATTATTAAACTATTCTTGCATTTATTGTGTCAGTGCTCATCGTTTTTTCAATTATAATCTTTTATGTCATATTTTTTGTTTTGTATGAACTAACTTGTGTTTTATAATTTTAGTTGTATAAAAATCGTTTGGTATTCTACTAAATCTATGTTGACGCCATGGGTGGATATAATAATGTTGTACGTTATTTCAAGTTCTTAAAAAGTTAACTAAACATATGGTTTATGAAAGAAGACATCGTGTTGAGACATCGGCAAATTGCGCTGTAGAATAGTAACATAGTAGAACACCTCTAGTTGTGTATCAGTGTTAATAGCAAAAGTACTTGTATATTTTTATTCAGTGCTCGAATTGAAAAAATAAAAGTTCCAGTTATAAACGAATATAGGTGATCCCGTAAAAAATATTAATACAAATAATGCATTTTTACTGCAAATATAATTATTTTTTTTATTGTTTTGCATTTTTTCTATTATCATTTTTTTGACTGTGCCACGTTTAGATACAATACAATACCTATTATTTGAATCTCAGCAAGTACTATGTACAATAATTGTTATATTAGGCCGAATCGATGAGACCGTCTGTTGAAACGTGCGCCGGAATCGACACGCGTAGTTTGTTAAATATTTGAACCGTTCTATTATTATTAATCCATCGTTTGTATCATATAGGCGCCCTCACACATTTTATCGCTTTTGGCCGCGATGTGTTTAATTTGGTCAATGCGGGACGGTTATAATAATTGAACTATTTACAGCCTTTGTTGCAGCGTATACATTCAAATCCGAGTGTATAAATCTTATACTTAAGACTCACTTTTATTGTTATTATAATTTTGTAACGACCAATTTATCAAAACACGGACCAATAAAGTTTTCAATTATCAAAAGTCCAATAACGTTCGTATAGTTGTTAATAAAAAAAAAAAGAGCTGATACTGGAGACGGATGTGTTTATGTTGTCGGTGAGAAGTTGGGGAGGTAGGATACATAAAGTAATTTATTTTATACCTGTGTGAACAAAGATCATTCATTGTTAAAGAAAACGATTATACACGTTTTTATAGGCCTTCTTTACAATTTTCGTCAAAATTTGATACCAAATTCTTAAAAAAAAAAAAAAATTGTGTAATGTTATGCTCACATAACATAATATTATCTATGTATAATCTATTATTTATATTATTAAAACAGTGTAACTAAAAGTTTCAAATATGGCCGAGTACTTGGTATTTTCTACTTAAAAAATGTAAATAATTTAATACGGAGCGTTCGTTGTTTGAGAGGGATACACATTATATTCTTCACAAATAAAATAATTTAAAATGGGTCAAACATAGTAGACATTTACGACATCCGACTCAGCCCTCCGAAGACACTGCCACGCCGCTATCACAGTCGTACTCTAAGTATTCTTATAATTTCCATACAACACACCACAATAAACGTAATTGTATTATTAATCTTTTATCGATACTGAAACGAAGGCCAACAGGTATTAGTTAAAATATATTACGGTCTTCTTTTTTTCCTGTGAACAACTTTTCTATCAGCAATTTTGCTCCAATTTATAATGATAGCAATATTTCTGAAAGGAAATTTAACTGGCAAGATACCCAGGGATGTCATTTTTCGATTTTCCTAAAAGTTTTCCATACAAATGTGAAAAACCGGGATAAATCATGGGTAAATCGGGGAAAACGTAGGAAAACTAGGAACATTGGTACAACATTGACAAATAGTATTCAAGCAAATATAGAAAGCTTATTTATTTATTTTACTATAATATGGCATGTATATTTATTAGGGTGTTCCTTAATTTTTGATTTTAAAATATGTTTGGTCTTACCCCCTAATATTGTGCCTATATGTATAAAAACGAACTACAAAAAGTTTTGGTTCGATCAGATAAGGTTAACCCGTGCCGACTTGTGATTTAAGTTTGAACTTACTACATTTTTCAATATTTACGAAAATTTTCGACATTTNTTACATTTTTTTATATCTTTTAAATATTATTTATGTATTGTTGAAGAAGTATCACTATCAACTGAACTCCGATTTCTCGAACTATATCGTTTGTTTCGTAATCAATGATTTATTGTTGCTTTCAGGTATACGTTAAATTACCTATAACAATAGCTGCACCCGTTCCCATTATCCTAGGACGTCTTTTTAATTTTGTTTTTTTCGATTATTATTCTTGTAATATTATTTTCACATCATATTCGGAATTTAAACGGATAAAATTATTATGATAACACACCTATCTTATTATTACTTATTCCTTTGGATCATTCTTTATAAAATTTGTATTGCTATATGCCTTAAACAAATATATTACACAAATAAACCATCAGCTAAGTGATAAAGTTAACCAAGGTAAAAAATCAGTTTTACTTACTTTTATAACTGTTCATTCATTAGCCTAAGCTAATATACTAAAGGATTTACTCCGTTTTACAAATGTACATTTAACCCAAGGACGTATATATACTTTTAAATACTATACCAATGGACATATTCGGTTTTGAAACTACGTTCAATTCTTGAACTGGAAATTGTATTACATTACGGTTTAGAAATTGAGTTTTATATATAACAACAGTTACATTATGAGTAATAGACCAATAGCGAAGTATAGATTTTTGCTCAAAATGGATTTACGACCTTTTGCAACTGGCGAACGCACCAAACTGGTGAACTTCTATTTACATATACCTATACATATATGCTATAGTTGTCAATTAATTTGAAAATGTACAGGTTTTTTTTAAATTTCAGAACTTTTGGTTTCTTCAAAACTCTAAAAGTGTTTAAAACTACATACAAAAAAATGATATCTAAAAATAAAATAAATTAATAAAAAATAAACAGGGGAATCATTTACCCGAAAATAGGCCTCTACTTTTTAGACACTACATAAATTCACAAAATATTAATAATAAAAAAAAATACATTAAAGTGTTAACTTTTAATTATTTGTTTTTTCATAAATCATTTACTCTGAAAGGGTCACAAGAATCATATCTGATAAATTGAAAAACACCGGCCTTAAAAAAATCTGTTATTTTAGCACTATAGACCACAGGTAGCAATAGGTACGCCAAAAAAGGATTCAGTGTGTTTTGATGAATTTTCATCGTTTAATTCAGATGCAACTACAAAAATCCCAAGGTTTCACTGACATTAAAATATATTGTATTCAATCTTATGGTCGGAAAATTTGTGTATATATATAAAATATATATTAAAATATAATATCGGATAATAATATATTATACACTAGTTTTAGAAATGGCGTACGCAGGGAGGGGGGTAGTGTTATATCCCCCACCAATCGGCTTAAAATACAAAAAAATATGAGTAGTTTAATGTACAAAATGCATAAATTTTAGCTAAATCACGAGGAAAAACTTGACATATTGATAAGAAATTGGCTCTTTTTAGGATCCGACTTTTAAATTACCAATTCCACAGTCAATTTGGGTAGAGAAAACGAATTTATGATTTATTGATGATTCTTATTTGCTACAACTCCTCCCCCTTTTCCCTCCCATTGATTATTCCTGAGCACGCCACTGAGTTTTATTATAAATGTGTCTTGAGATAAACTCACGAAATTTTTTATCACATGGTCAAAACTGATATTTTATATTCTCGTTGTGTGCAACATTTTTGTCCACTTGCCGGGAAAGCTAATCAAATTTCGTATAAAATCCGACAACGGTAAACAGTAAACGTTCATCATTCCACGATTCCAGTGTGACTGACCGTCGTCGTCGTGGTAATATTCCATTGGAAAAAATAGTTTAAAAAAATCCTCGGGTCTCGGACGTGTGTAATTAAACATGGTCTTACAATAATATTGAATAATTTAAAGTTTACACGGTATTATTGAATAAAATATATCTCTTTTGTACATAGAAGTAATATGTGAAATGACCGTTCCCATTCATTCACGAGGACGGACTACGACGTGTCATTAGTACACAGTTATTATTATATGATTTTTTTTGTTATTATTATTTTTTTTTTTATTTAAAATTAACTAACTAAATAAGCTCCTCGTTTGAATATAACAGTAGTTAATTATTATTCATCAAACTATGACACATACGCAGACGATGAATCCGTGGAAAAAATAAAAATACGCTTATCCGTTTGCTTCCTGTCGGAATATATGGTTTACACATTCTGTATAATATATTATAAAAAAAAAAAAAAACCAGTATAAATAAAATGTCACCAGAAATTGTTTTTTATGTCGACGTGGCATATTCGAACGGATTATTACAATAATTCCCGAACGACGAGTAATAACTCGAAATCAGATAATATTTTTCACGGTCGATTTAGTAAAAAATGTAAAAACAGAAAAAATCCCCGTCCTTAGCTCCAAAAATATTACGTATAATCGGATCTGTAAATATAATTAACTTCTATTGTTAAGACTTCCTGCACTTGAATTATTGTACTAACACCGTGCTCTGAAGTTTTGCAATAAATAAGTATGATTTATTAATATTATATATGATATTTATTTATTATTTAATTATTACTCGAACAGTTTCCGTAGAGTTTTTTGTAATATTTGTAATGAAAATCTAAAAAAAAAGACGCGTGTTTAATATATTATAAGCAGTGGCGTAGTAAGTGGTATTCGATTCGCAGTGCTCCCTAAAACAATTAGTTCACTACTCTGTGGAGAGCCAACTCTTAACTCTATTTTACTGCATTTTGATGAACCCCACTTATTATGATGGTTTATCGTTTTTTCACCTATTATCCGACGTGGTTTTGCATAGCAAATCAGAATTTATTTTCGATTGCGATTCCGATATGAACTTGATCTTAAAGACTAAGATATATACTAAGAACCCTTTTTCTACCAGAAGGCTTACTCTGATATATACGATGCAGACATTTTTCTGAAAGGAAATTTTTTTGAGGTATTTTTTTAAGAAGGTCATTTTTTTATTTTCACAGCAGTTTTTCCAATAAAAGGGAAGACGTGAGAAAAAACGAGAAAATGTGAAATATATTATATCAGTAAATTCTATGATTTTTTTTTCTGTGAACATTTTTTCTACTAGAAATTTTGCTCTGATTTACAATGATAGCACTTTTTATGAAAGGAAATTTGACTGAAAACGTACTTAGGAGATCACTTTTCGATTTTCTCAAGTTTTTTTCTAGCAAATGTGAAAAACCAGGAAAAATTTAGAAATAATGGGAAAATCGGTGCAATTTTAAACAAATATTATCGAAGAAAATATATAATGTCTATTCAATTATTTTACTATAATATGACGTATATATTGTTGACAAAGCATCACTATCAACTGAACTTCGTTTATAATCGTTTTTAGTAAGCAATAGTTTATCGTTGTTTACAGATACAACTTAATTACCCATCTATATCCTACCTTCCCAACTTTTCACTAACAACAGAGGCTGCACCCATCGTACGATGTAGGTCCGTTCTTTTTATTTTCTCTTTTAGAAACAACTGCTCAGCTGATTCTGTTGAGTAGGCGTGATAATAAAACAATGTTAATATTATGCGCTCGTACATCACTAACGGTACAATATCCGTTTTATACGAAATCAAACGAGTCGGATCGATTTTGATACGACCTATTATCATCTGCGCACGATTTATAAATACGGTTCCGATTCTCCCCACATCGAATAAAAACAGTTCACTGTGACTCAATAATTTTATGTAAAAAAAAAAAAAGATCTGATACTTGAGACGAATGTGCCCAAGTTGTAGGCGGGAATTTGGGAAGGTAGGGTTCATAAAGTTATTTAATTTATATCTGTAAAGAACGATAAATTATTACCCACGAAAAGCCGTAATATTTATGATTTTCGATTAAAAGTTGTACATAGAAAAAAAAAAATTCTACATTATACTCAATTTTTTATTTTTTTGATAACTAAGTACAACTTATAATGAACTTTTTGTTAAATGTTCAATCATTTCGGTTTGTTCAAATAATTGTATCCACAGAGTACCTACCTACCAAATTGCGTAAAAAAACTTAACAAATTTAAATGTCTATAAATAGTTATAAATCGCTCTAATTTCATAAGGCAAAAAAATTTCAACATTTCTAACCTCTAAGAATATTCCTATTAAAATTACAACAAAAAAAAACAAAATTGAAAATAATAAAGCATCATTTTCGTTGTTTTCCCGTTCTTCCTACGTTTTTTCGGTTTTCCTCAATTATTAAAACAACTACAAGGAAAACCAATACATTTTACCCTGTAATTACATTGAAAAGGAAACAAAAACAATTACTTGTCTTTTTTTTCTTGGAATATTATTTTTGGCTAAAAATCTTAACAATTTAAAACAATGCATTCTTAACGCCATTGTCAGTTTTCATTTCACGTTTTTTTCCCGGTTTTCTCTAATTATTGTGAAAACTACTGAGGAAATCAAAAAATGACTTACCTCACGAGTAACTAGATTCTAAATTAAACAAAAAAGATTATTCGGCATTTTTTAGTTTAAGCAATATTTCTTGTAGGAAACCTATTTCGTAAAGATGAAAAACAACGGAACTGAGAACGTCACGGCGCAGCCTGTCGTAAATATTTGCCATTTTACCGATTATTTTTTTCGAATTTTTCCTAATTATTGCGAAAAATCTTTGGAAAATCAAAAACGACCTTCCCAAGGCATGAAATAAATAAAATTTATTTTTGGAAAAAGTGATACACTCTATACATCGGAGCAAGTTTTCATTTCGAAAAGTTGTTTACAGACAAAAAAAAAAACACACACACACATTATCATAGTAAAACCAATAGATCCCTCGCTACACTCCGAATATAAAATATAAAATTATGTCGTTAGTACGCGAGTTCTCAAGCTCAAGACGTGCAGCGATTTCAGCTGTGAAATATTTCAGCATAGTGACAACGGTTGCAAATCCTAGAGAAAACGTTTAAAAAAGCGGTTTTTGAAAAAAAATAACATTTGTATACATTACATTACATATTAAAAATATGATAACGCGTATAATTTTCAGCGTTGTTATACGCAACTTGTATTTCCGTCGTATGCGTCGTGGAAATGGTAAAAGTTCCAAAGATCCTGTGCGTAACAACACTGTAGAAAATGTGCTATCTGCATGCAATTACTGTAAACGCGAATATCTCGAAAGCTTTTGAAAAAAATAAAACGGTGGGAGGGACTGCGGGTTTCTCGGGAGGGGGCAGTAATAACGCGGCGTCTTGAGTGACTCGATTCAGATAAGGTCGACCGGGTGTCGATTTCGGTCGTATGTTTAATACGCGGAAAATCGCGTTGTCAATAAATTTTCGATCGGCGACCATGTGGACATCCACGGTGTCTGTGACCCGTTATTGCTTTCTGTTGGCTGTGGTCCAAGGGATCGCCGCGGCCGGTTCGGAATCCGCGTCGCCGGCCCGGGCCGCCGTGCAGGGCACGCCGCAAACGGACGACGACCGGTTGCCTCGAGACACGGAACCGCTAGCCTACGGTCTGCGATTGGTGCCCAGCTACGACAAACCGTCGGACCAGTATCAGTTCGGCGGGCAGGTGGAGATCCTGATCAAGGTGAACGAAATCACGCCCAACGTGACGCTCAACGCTCGTGACATGGTCATCAAGAGCGTGGCCGTCACCGAGTACAGCACGCAGACCGACCTGGAGATGGACGCGTTCGTCATGGTGCCGGACGAGGAACGGCTGGTGATCAGCACGACCAAGAACCTGTTGGCTGGACGTCGGTACCAGGTCAAGATCGTGTTCCAGGGAATGTTGAGGACCGACATGACGGGATTTTACCGGAGCGTGTACAAGGAACGCAACAATACCATGTACGGAACCTGTGACTTTTCTTCCGTGAATATAAAAGTTATCACCTATTATTCGTCTTTACCGTTTGATAATAATAATGAAGCGTGTTGTCCTCAGTTGCCCTCGAAAGAACCTTTTTTTCTATACCCGTGGTTCTCAACCTTTTTTTCTTTTACGCCAAGGGATGGCCCTTGTACATTTTCAAAAATCTCGCACTCTCTTAATTTGTTTTAGTAAGCCGTGCAAGCAAATTTTACAAAATAACTACGTATTATACAAATTATACAAATTATACATTATACAAATGAAATTAATTTATTGCGCTATTTTTTATACGACGAAAGCAATCGGTATATTTGTATTTAATGCCGAAAACGGCCGCCGAGGGTATCTGGTCGACACCCACAATCCGATATCGTGTAAGGGATGCGACATCTGTGCATTTTAAAAAGGTTTTGCGGGCCACTCGTAGATTTTGCGTTACGTTTGAACATCATTTATAGTAATAATCGTAACAATATCGGCAGTCAATTATCCCCGGCTATATTCCGATTTTTCCCTGGGTTTTGTCGAGTGTCTGTTTCGGAATGATTTTCGACCGCGACCATGTTCACAGGTGGATGGCCGTGACGAACTTTAAGCCCACGTTCGCCAGAAGAGCGTTTCCGTGTTACGACGAGCCCACGTACAAGACGCCGTTCAACATATCGTTGGGCAGGCAACCGTATCAAATGTCCTTGTCCAACATGCCGCTGTACATGTCTCAAAGGCTGTAAGTATAGACTCTGACATCGCGTGAGTGTCGTCTCTTAGTAATATTTCGGTTAAATTTATTGAGGTTTTTTTTTTTTTTAATTATTATTATTCTACGGTTGTATCTGGTGTCTTTAGATAGATAATAGAAACGAAAACGAGTTGACGCGTTATGCGTATTTATAGCCAAAAAACTAATTACGAAACCGTAATGTTTTCGAGTATTAATAAGAAATCGAAAATCGTAATCGATTCCTATTTAAATTATAATAATCATTCGTAACAAATTTCAAGAAATCTGACTTTTATCGACGAATATTTCCCAGTGTATTAATTATTCGCAATATTTGTATGTAAATTATTTTTTTTTCACACCAATAATATCGTGCTGATAAGGTATTCGACTTATTTACTTTAAACTCGAATTTTTCGCGCAGTTATTATTCTAAGAGTGAAAATCTTTTTCGAATTTTTTTTTAGCAACGATATAATATATTTTAAACTCTGGGAGAAGCGTTTGTTTGCATTCGATCTCGAAAATGTAAATTAATCATATGTCTATACTACACCGGTAGCTGATTATTCCACTACTTGACATTATTATTATCTATACAATTTGGGAATGTATACAATTTGTTTTTCTCGCAACTCATATTCTACAGAATGACTAACGCGGAGTCCCGTCACGTCCGAAAACAAAGAAATAGAAATGATAAAAGCCGGACATATATTTATCACACCATGGGTGGTATATAGGTACCACCGTTGTAGGCAAAATGTTTGGAAAGCGTATTATAGTGTACAGGGTAATTTAGTTTATCTGTTGAAGGTAACGACAATTCATTTTAATCACAAAAACTATTCTGATCGAAACTTTAAGTCTTTCTTACTTTATTTGTAGAAATATTAATCCAGAAATCAACGAATATAATACCGATGTATCGTCATTTGATATCGGGTTTTTAAATGTTTTAGTACAACAGTTGAGATTCAATATTTTAAATAAACGGGCAAAATATCCTCATATTTGTAAGTTATTACTTGAAATAATCGGAAAAGTTTACTTGTCAAAAGTGTTTCGCACAAATTTCAAATATTTGAAAATTATTTAACAATATTATAGGTTTTGACAAAAACCGTGAAATCATATTAAACATCAGATTTCTAAATTTTTTGGAATCGATTTTAATAAATCATCATCATAACATAATGCACATTAACTACATTTATAAAAACATGATAACGATTTTTAAAAAAAATAACAAAAATGTTATTGTGCCGAATCAACTGAATAGGTACCGTGACGTTCTCCGACCGATTTATAAACGACATATTGGTTGAGTTTATCCAAAAAATAAAAGAAAAAAAAAATGAATGTAAAGAAAATTATTTTGATTTTTACAGCGAGTACTACGGTTGGTGGTTAGACAGTTTCGAAACGACACCGCCGATACCTACTTATTTGGTGGGAGGTTTCGTCGGCGTATTGAAAAAATCGGAACACTCTAAAGAGACCAACGTGAACGTTTACGGGAGTGGCGATCACTTGAACCAAACCGGGTACGCGATGGAAGAAGCGCCGACGTTATTCCAGACTATGGATAATTACACGACTATCCCGGACGGCATCGTGAAAATGGACTTTGTCGGGATACCCGAAATCGACGGCGAAGGCTTGGAGATCTGGGGAATGAACCTTTACCGGTAAACGCCGTTTGTAATACTATTATAGTTGGTATGTATCAATCCGAACAGAATTCTAATCCGAAAACGGCGCACTACAGGGAAAAGTATTTGTTCATCGAGGACGATTCGAAAACGAAATTCAAAGAGTTGTCGACCATGGTCATGCAGCAACTGCAGAGCAACCAGTGGTTCGGCAATTTGGTGACTTGCTCGTGGTGGAATTACCCGTGGTTGAACGAGGGATTCGCCAGATATTTCCGGTACTACGCTACGGAAACTGTGGGTATTCTTCGGATTAAAATAATAACGACAACACCATCAACAATAAGTTGCTTATCCGCCGGTGGCGTTTCAGGTGAAATCCGATTGGCGGTTGGAAGAAATGTTTGTGGTCGAACAGCATCAGACCGCACTGGCATTCGATCAGGTGCCCAGACACTCGATGACCGCGTCCGTAAAATCCACGGATGACATCCAGAGTCTGTTTGATCATATAACGTACAACAAAGCCGCGGCCGTTTTGCGAATGATCCGGAACACGGTGTCCGAAAATAATTTCCACGAGCCCCTCAAGTTGTATTTGAAAAATTACAGGTGAGCTTATCCCGCCAACTGCAAAACGTGATTTCAATACTTACCAGTGCTTGAGCTGGAACAATTAAAGAATATGTACTATGAGAGTTAAAAACGTTTAGTGACTTTTATAGTTATTGAAAACAGCCATGGGGGCCACATTTCAAACATAATTTAATAATTATAGTAATTTAGAAAAAAAAAACATGCTCATATATTTAAACTTATAATATCAATACTTCTGCGGGTTACGTCATTGCTCGAAGGTATGTGTATTTATTTTATGTATGTATCGCCATTGATGATACTATAATATAGGTATTTAATTTTTTATAAAATTATTTCTTATTTCCGTAAAAAAAAAATACGGTGTTTAGATTTTAGTTAAATTACATTAATTTATAATCATACAAGGCACATGACAAATATGCAGAAAATGATAATTGATTCAATAGTTTGAGACAGAACGATAATATTTACAACATTTTATGAGTTGATAATAAATGTTGTTTGAAAATATTATTGTTTGCAAAAAGAAAAGTTCATAATTAAATAATTACTAAGGGGATGCTAAAAAAACAAAAATTGTACATTAAGTCTCGCACCCCCGATTCGAGAACTGATTTTTAACATACAATATTGTTAATATTTATTATTATTTTGCCGCTCGTTTACAGAAACGCCGCGACAAGTCCGAGCATATTGTGGTCAGTGTTCGAAAACTTTTATTTTGACATCAAATTTCAGTTGCAAGAAGACGTATCATTCACCGATTTTGTGCACACGTGGACCGACCAGTCGGGCTATCCCGTAATAAATGTTACTTGGAAAAACAGCATGTACACGGTTACCCAGGTATGCAGAGTGATTTTATATACCAACAATTTTCGAACTAACAATTTCCACGGGTGTTTTTAAGTGAATTTGATTCTGTTTCTTTTTAACGATTGTGGAATCGTTTAAACTTTATTTTACAAATAGATGCGCAATTTATTACTCTTTCCAATTCTCCCAGTCTAAACATTAAACTGTCATAATTCATCAGCTATAAACCTGATATTAATGTTACACATCAAAGTTTCTAAAAAAATATTCTTTAATCCAATCAATAAGGGGGTTCCTATTTGAAAAACACAAGTATGTAGTTATTTATGGTATATGGAGTAGGCGTAAACAATTATAAATGGTTGTAAAATGAAGTTTAACCGATTCCACAATGGTTGAAAAAAAAGTCACCCTGTATTATTCGCGCGAGAATTAATACAAAATTACAATATAATATGGTCGATTATCTTAATATGGCTCTACGAAAAGTAGTTCGATAAATTATTTCCATTTCCATTTCTCATGTTCAAAAGCCAGATGTCAATCAATTACCTACAAATATAAATTATACATTGTACATATTGCAAAATCAAAGCACGTTATAGATTCTAAGTATGTCAAAAAAGCTATCCGTTTTACAAAGATGCGTTTTATTTGCTCGACAAATACTTTTCTGGTTAATGTAAATTCGCCGATGTTTGTACGTCATATCTTAAATATTTAGGATTTTTCGCTTGCAGGCAGTTCTATAATATTCGAACGATTTTTCGAAATTCCCGAAACTTTTTCGTTTAATTTTTCCAATTTTATCTTATAGTCATTTAAATGATGCGGAATTTCTGACGATAACACTTTACTAGAAAATTTTATTACAATTTTCAACGTTTTGCCCCAATTGTCACTTTCTTTTGTTTTTCGAATTTTGCTGATTTCTGGATTACCTTGACGGCTCGACCACAAGGGGAAACCACGATTCGCTTCAGAATCGTTTGCTTTGTTTGCAATGATTCAGCATATACAGTATTATAAACTATCCTCTATATCTTACCTTTTCGACTATCCACGTACAACTGCAGCTGTCTAGTGTCTACCCGCGTGCAGTATCAATCTATTACTATTATTATTATTATTATTATTATAATAATTTTTTTTGTAGCAACGATTTTCTGTTTGGCCATCCAACGACAACACCACCAAATGGTATTTCGGCGTCACTTACACCAACAATACGACTAGAAATTTCAATAATCTCAATCCGGTCCGATGGATGAAACCCACGCTGTCAGCCATATACATACGCGATCCGAACCCGACCGCCTGGTTTATATTCAATTTACAATCGTCCGGTACTTATGTTTATAACAATTATTTTTTCCGGACGTGATTTAAATGTTGTTCCTTTTGTTATTTTGATAAAATATAGGTTTTTACAGAGTGAATTACGACTCGGACAACTGGAAGCACATCGTACAACAGTTGAACGTCTCGTACGAGGCTATTCCCGTTCTAAACCGGGCTCAACTGATCGACGACTCGTTCAATCTCGCCCGGGCCTCGATGTTAGAATATTCTACGGCCTTAGACCTGTCCATGTATTTGAAAAACGAAGAAGACCAAATACCATGGTACACGGCTATAAACTGTTTGACTTACGTGGTCGAGCGGATGCGCCGCAGCCCATACGGTTACGATTACATAAAGGTGCCTAGATAATATTAATGCTATATTTTGTTATACACACGTATAGGCTCTCTGGTTTCTGCATTGAATAAATGTTACGTAGGTAGCAAAAAAAGCGATGCGATTAGCCGTTCCCCAATGATATAATATTATATTTTTAAAGTGAATCGTGTTACCTTCGTTCGTAAACAACGAATAAGAAACCGCAAGGAGATTCGCTAGTGTAATTATTAAAAAAAAAAAAAAAAAACAACAACAACAACTGTTTACTGATTAGTTTATCGTAGTGATCAATGTGATGTGGGATGTATGGAAGACAAATATATTTTAAGTTGATTAAAGCGTTCGCGGTCCGGTAAAATATTAAAATTGTATTACTATTGCAATGTCCGTTGTTAAGGTCTTAAATTCATTGCATTACAAACGCAATCAAAAATATTTTACGTCGCTGGATTAGAAACAAATTATGTCCATCTATTATGTAATCTAATCGTTTAAACGATTAGATAGTGGACGAAATTGTACTTCAATGTTATTATCATCGGATGAGAAGTGGATATTGCTGAGGTTTTGAAAGCATGTAGAATGGACAGAGACACGCGCAGATTGAGGACAAGTGTATAACATATATATATAATCCCATTTGAGGGGGATAAAGCCGAAGGAGAGACGATTCTTGTATTCCTGCGTATTGTCTGTATCCCTCAAGCGTGTATTTTTGCGTTTCAGTCGTACGTTCGCGATTTGGCCACGTTGATATATCAGAAAACGGAAGATTCGGTTTTGAAGCGTGGCGTCCAAGATCACGTAACTCTGGCGAGCTGGAATAAGTTTTCGGTGTGGGCGTGCTCGTTGGACAGTAAAGTGTGCACGGAAAACGCATTAAAAAATTTCTACTTATGGTCGACGGGGACCAAGTAATGACTAGATGACTGGCTCGTACATTTAGTGGCGTGCTTTACACAGTAAGTTAATGTTTTTATTTCAGGATATCGCCAGACATCAAAGACGCCGTCCTGTGTACCGGTATCAGATCGAAAAACAGTACGGAATCTTGGATGGCTATGTTTAATTTGTACGTGAACACCCAATCGGGTTCCGAAAAGGACTCGGCCCAAACAGCGTTGACCTGTACGCCGAACACTGTGTTGTTGTACCAGTACGTGATAAATAACATAGCATGACTACTATATGGATGAGAAGTTATATAAATCGTATTTTTTTTTGTGTTTAATTAATTACAACCGTAATAGGTGAGCTAAACAATTTGTTCTGGATAATGAGCTAATAGTATGCGATTTTAGATTCTGAGTAGAACGAAAGAAGCGTGTAGTTTTATAAAGATGTTTATTGCTTTATTTATTTATATTTTTATCTATGCACAACTTTTCTACCAGAAATCTAACTTCGATATGTACCTTTTCTGAAAAGAACTCGATTTGAGATAAATATGAAAAAACGGGAATAATCATGGGCAAAATGTAAAAAAAAAAAAGAAACGGGAAAAATGGTACAACATTGAACAAATATTTACTAAAGAAAATTTATAAATCCTATTTTTTTCTATTATTTTACCATAATATGACATATATATTGTTGAAAAAGTTTCACTAACAACTGAACTCTACTCAGAATCGTTTTTTCGTTAGAAATATTTTATCGTTGCTTACAGGTATATATTAAATTACCTATAACAGTAGCTGCACCCACTCATATTATTCTAAGACGTCTTTTTTTATTTATGTAATATTTATTAAATATTCTTAAAAATTGTGTTTTAATACATTTTCGGGCATATAAATTCACTTAGAGTATTATTATTGTCCACTAAAATTAAACTAAATATTCTTTTTCGTTTAAATATTTAACATATGTTTCGTAATTTTTTTTTAAATGTATATTTTCATGAATTTACTGTCTATTATTTCTGTATGCATTTATTTATTCAAAAAGTTTAATTTAATATGTCATCGGGTGTTGCACGTATACCCCGATATACAATCTGTTACAATTCGATTTATTACTTCACATCTCTATTCATATATATATATGTATTCATTTATAGTCGTCATTAGCCCAGTCGATTCGGTATCATTCACTATTAAATTTTCGTGAAATTTAGGTACTTGGGATCGCTGTTCGATAGCGATAAAGGCGGTCCGGTGCACTTACAAGATTTCAAAGACATATGCGCCGCAATGTCCTTAACGCCGGAAGGTATCGACGCGTCGACGACGTTTTTAATGAACAACATTGCCAAGATTCTAAAAACAATGCTTTCCGGAGAGAGTATCGTCACGTACATGTACAGGGTTTTAGCTTCAAAAGTAGCCCTCGACAGTGAAATAAAAAGAGTGAGTGCCAATAATGAAGACAATATTGCCTTAACCAATAAAATGATTTTAAAATTGTCGAACATCCGTTGTATTTCGAACGCCTAACATGCTAACACCTCTTTTTGTGTTTCCATTGATTCTCCTCTTACACCCTCAAAACTGATGAAATCAATATTTCACAGTTTTTTCTTTTATCCACTGGTTTTTTTTTCAGCTGTACGACTTGAAGAACGCGACCGGATTACCGCCCACGGTGAAAGCGTCTTTCGATGAATCGTTTCTGATTGTGGAACAAAACGTCCGTTGGTACAATCTTCACCATGCCACTATCAACCAGTGGACGGGAGCGCCAAACGATCCGCCGACCGAAGCACCGACGACATTGATGTCCACAATTCCAACGACATTGATGACCACAGCCCCGACGACAGTGACGAGTCCAGCATCAACGACTCTGATGACGTCGCAGTCACCGGTAACTAACTCGACGATGTTGCCGGTAACGATCTCGACGGATATGCCGGTAACGAATTCAACGGTTTTGCCGGTAACAAACTCGACGGATATGCCGGTAACTAACTCGTCGATGTTGCCGGTAACGATCTCGACGGATATGCCGGTAACGAATTCAACGGATATACCGGTAACGAACTCACCGATGTTGCCGGTAACGAACTCGACGGATATGCCGGTAACGAATTCAACGGATATGCCGGTAACGAATTCGACGGATATGCCGGTAACGAACTCACCGATGTTGCCGGTAACGAACTCGACGGATATGCCTGTAACAAACTCGACGAATATGCCTGTAACAAACTCGACGAATATGCCTGTAACAAACTCGACGAATATGCCTGTAACAAACTCGACGAATATGCCGGTGACGAATGTAACCGGTTACGGTCCAACCAAGTTTGATTTTGACCACACGACGCCAGTCTCCATGTCCAGGTGCCCGAATAGCACTGGGGTACCGTTGTTTAGGGCCAGCTGGCCAGTGACCGTTGTCGTCACCGCCACGGCTTTATTCGTCCTGATCCTGTGAACGTGCGAACGTCGAAATACCTTTTTATATTATTATTATTTGTATTATTATTGTTAATTACCGTAAATATTATTGTACACGATTTATCATTCATTGTGATGTGCGCAGTGCTCGCGATAATAAATCTAAATTGTTTGTACTGTTATTTCTACGCATTTTTCTGTGGCCCAGCCAAACGATGCGCAATCCGGTGATACGGTTTTCCCGATTCTATGTGGAGATAATTTCCGCGACCGAAATATTCGGAATATAATTCTCAACAACTGCAGGGATAGTCTCATAATAATTTGTGTTTCATACATTTGTAATACGGTTGAAATTGAACATGTATAACATTAATTTTGTATTACAAAAAGACGTCCCGGAATAATGGAGTCGGGTACAGCCACTGTTATAAGTAATTTAATGTATACCTATGAGAAACGATAGACCATTGCAAACGAAAAAACGATTCTGAGAGTAGTTCAGTTGATAATGATGCTTTGTCAACAATATATATGTATGTCATATTATGGTAAAATAATTAAATGGGCTTTATAAATTTACTTTAATAATATTTGTTCAATGTTGTACTGTGTTTCCCGTTTTCTACATTTTGCCCATTTTTATTCCCGGTTTTTCACATTTGTTGGAAAACTCACGAGAAAATCAAAAAAATGACCTCCTTAAAGTCCCCACGCCGATTTTCTATCAGAAAAGATGCTACACAGAAAAATTGTACCCAGGAAAAAAAAAAGAAAATAATAAATAAACGTCGTTGTAAAACCATAAGCTTTTTCGTTCCACTTATAATCTAAAAAAAAATTTGATAATATAGTACGACTGGTTATAAATGTCGCAAATTTTACGACATTGCGCGAACAAATCAGAGAATTTGTACAAACCAAAAATGTTGTTACGCCGAAAAAAAAACCTTATAATTAAATAATATAATATTAAAATATTTACGATAATCTTAGCATAACTTGTCATTATACTTAATTCCCTCGGACAGTTGAATCATCCTATAGGAGAACTTTGATCAAAGTCAGTAATTATTTGATTTCCAATATTTGGTCACATATCTAACTCATCGGGTCAATGTTCTGGTATAGCGTTCCCCCATATAATTATACACGGTTCAGCGTAGAAAACGTTCTTTTAGGAATGGACAAATTTAACTTGAAAAGTACTGTTTGGACGCTCAAACGATAAAACAGTATGGACAGTAGACGCGGCCCATGGAAACTCCCCCCTGGAAACGATACGGCCGCTGAACCTAACACTTGTAATCTGGGTCAAATAGATTTTCCCCGGACACACGTGTTCATACGTGCTCAATTTCCCTATAATAAAAATGAATTTTCTTTTGTTTTATCTGTTGTTTATAAAAATAAAAAAAATAAATAAAATCGGACCCACGGATTGGCTAATTTAGAGCCCGTGCCTATCCGTGTTAAATAATATCGTAAAATAATGATTTACCACGGTATTACAATATTGCAGTGCAGTGTTTATCGTCGGGTTGTCGAGTGGACCTGACAACGAGTTTTCGATCGCACCCGATCCCGGTTTACCGATCAAACACCGAACAAGTGCCACGCGAAATTTTATACAAAATCACTAGAACGTTGCGCGTATAAATAAACGGTATAGATAAGATAATAGAATATAAAATATGTGGGCTATAAAAACTGCGATGAATTAAAACGAAATTATTAATTTATATTTATTATATTGTATTTAAATGTTAATACAACATCATACCTTTGGTACACTGTGTCGTTTTATCTGCACGATAAAAGTAATGCACGCGTTAAAAAAAAAAAAATAAAAAACCGGTCGACTTCTTCGAAACCTATACACACAATATACGTCGTATTATTTTATGCTTTACGTAAATTAGATTATTATAATATTATTGTCTCGTTGGATTTTTTTTTCTTGTATTTTATATCGTAACGTATCAGTGTTTTTCAAATCGATGTAAAATTTCGAAATTTGAATCGTAATTACTATGGCCGGCGTACTGAATTTCTATCGATTTACGAATAAACAATATCGCAGTTCAAAATACACTAATATCCTATAATCGCATAACATTATCAGCGTAACGCAATAATTACTATGATACCGTATTAATTGACACGGATTTTTTACGAGAAACACCAGTTGATAATAATATGATGTTTCGATAGATATCGATTAAAACAACAATAACAATAACGCGGCATTTCAACCTAAACATTAATCACAAAACAACTGAATATTCGCGTTGAAAAACAAATATGTTTTTTTGTGACGAGAGCCGCGGACCAAACTCTTCGAACGTGTTCGGCCTTCGGTCGACCGAAAAGTTTACAAACATATTATTGTTTGACAACGCATGGCCACCGTGGTTCGGTTAGATTTACTATTGTGTTCCCGTTTACGGTGGCGATTTCCCGTTGTGTCGGTTGATCGATGTGGAAAATATTCTGACACGCGGTCTGCGATCAGGGCCCTCCCACGAGTGGAAAATTAAATTTTACTGGACCTCGCGGAATATAGTCGGAAATTTAATTTGTTTTACATTTACAGGAATTGAATGTATAAAACAACATGCCTTGACTGACTGATTCATCAACGCCTAGCCCAAACCACTAGTCGGATCTGGCTGAAATTTCGCACACGGATAGCTACCGTGACGTGGGCATCCGCTAATACAGGGTTTTTGAAAATTAAACCCCTAAGGAGGTTAAATAGGGGTTTTTAAGTATATATGGTACGAATGTCTAACTACTTATTTATTTATTTTTGTTTATTCAAGGGTTACCTTTGTGTTACGGATGATAATTTGTTTGCCATGGAAAAGAAAACTATTATAATTATTATTATTACTTTTACTAATTAAATACACAATAATTTGAATTTTATTATAGCTTTGCAGTAATGCCCGTGGCAATACAGAAAGCGCTACGGCAGCGTCTATAAAAGGGTAAAAAAAAAAAAGCTATCAGCTAAAAACTCATCGAATTTCTATGTGTACACCCCCACCGCTCCACCTCCCACATCATCAATAATTGCTAGCGCCGGCCTCGTCCGCAACGATGTGTTTCGGGGCGATCGAAAAGCGTGCAGGCTTGTCCGTATACTTTAATCAGTTGCGCCGAACATTTTTCTTTTTTCAAACAAAATAGTGTAAAGTAAACTACGTAAACCGTACACTACGAGACACCAACATTACGAGTGTGTATAGGCGCTCGGGCGATTGTCGAATGGGACCGTTTTTTTTTTTTTATTATTATTCATATGAGTTTTTTGTTCGTTTGATTAAAATATTATCTGAATTATTTTGTTTATTTTACAGATTTAACGCCATAACAATACGGTTAGTCATCGAAACGAATAACGGATACGTACCTATAGATGTTGGTATATAAGCTTATGAGTGTGAAACATTTCACTTGAAAATGATCGCGTTCGAATTATTTCGAACACGAAATTTCTCACGGTTTGAATTATTTCAATTGAATATGTTTTTCTATACGCTAGTGTCGTTTCTTATTGATTCGGTGTCGTACTGCATATTATAGCTGCGCAATATTGCAGTGTAGGATTCGTTTTCAACTTTATATGTTGCATTCTTTGTTCAAATTGGCCACGTGTCGTAATAAACAGATATCTACAGTGTCAAAAATTAAAACTGACTTTACTATTACTACTATTTTGTAAAGATCATTGTAGACTGTAGATGTTTTCAATTTGTTGTTAAAAAATTAAAAAAAAAAAAAAATGCTACACACAGTTCAGAACCGTTAGCAAACGTCTGCCGTTAACAGTTTTAATTTATAATGCTTGAAAATGAATTCCAAGAATTTTTTTTTTGCTTTTTATCAAAAATATATACTTCACGAAAGTTTCATAAATATAAGTTTTACTTAAGTATTATATTATTGTGTTATACACAAAGACGAATGTGATATAATATGTTTATAAGTCGAAAAACGATATATTTTTTTTTTATTTACGCATACACAACGTACAATATTGTTTTGCAATTACATACAAATCATCGAATTTGTTGAGTCTGTGAGCTCAAGTTTTAATTTGAAGCGGTCTAACCGTCGATAGAGTAGCGTAATCTTTAATTAAATCGTTTGGGTGTTTTGCCAAATTTATAAACAGCCGAATGAAATTTCACGGAATTATAAAAAAATAATAATGACCACATCGATTGATACAACCTTATCATATTATTGATCACGTTTATCATGAACGGTATCTGTACAATATCATCGTGATGATTGATAATATTTTGTATGTCTATTACACTATATCTGTTATACTACCTATCTATCGTTCGGTGGAGACGCAAAGAATTATAATTCGTAAGGCAGTATTATTTTTTTCAACCCACCCAAAAACCCACCTACACCTGAAATACTGATATCGAACGGATTTTTCGACATTCGCTTCGTTGTATTATACTTGTACGGTATCATTACCAATGTCGTAGCATACAAGCTCCGCACCCGCCTACCCAAAAAATCTTGGCCGTGTCAACACTACTATCGTTCACTACGATTCTGTTATTTTTGAACAGTTTTTCGTATTTTGTGGCACATATTCACTGACATAAATTGTATGAATGCCAAGCACCCTGAATTTACATACTAACACCCTCGAATTCTGCAACTACAATTTATAGTATTATTACCGTTATATTCCCATAAAAATGCATTTATCTAAACAATAGCTATACTAAAAATTTGTTTTATTTACATCGGGATAAATTTATAAATGTATAATTTATAAATAAATACAATTTTATCACACAAAAACATAGTTTCGGTTTAAATCAGACGAAATGTATAGGCGCTGACGCCAAATCTGAGACTTCCCTTTAGGCGACAAAATCCAAAAATGACTTACGAAAATTTTTTTTTGTTGATCTGCGGCGGCAAAATACGGCACAGATTGTCCTAAAAATAAATCACAGCCTATCGAATTTGCTCGATAACTCGCTGACTCAATTCGGCTTTGGCAAATTACATACGTATTTTAAAGATTCCTAAAACTTCGTCATATCTACAAAACTAATAAAAAAAATTACAAACAATAGCTAATTAACTAAAAAGTCAAAGCGTGAAAGTAATA